ATATCCCAAGTTGTCAGTTCAGGGAGCCTAACGTTTTGTGTGGGAAACAGTCACTGGTAGTAGGTGATAATCCTCATGTTTGGCTTTTGGTGTAAAAATATGATCACTTTTGTGATCAAAACCCGAAGCAAAAAACATATATTTTTGAGTTAAACAGGGAAAAAATAGTATTGGATTTGATTTTATACACTGGGAATTGATTGGATCATGAAAATAGGCATTCCATTTGTTTGCAGTTAACTGTTAATGATTACACCATTGGCACCTATTGGTTCAAAATTTCACTATTTCACACGTGATACAAATGCATAATGTCACATGAGGGCTGTCAAAGTTTGTGGTATGCCACTGGAAGTTGCATTTAGTTATCATGATGACAATATGGGTGATAAATTGTGCACAATAATAGGAATGTGCATTAAGAAAGTAAATTGGCCAACATCAGATCTCCAGCATGCACAAAATCCAAAGCGCTAATTTTGTAGACATACATGTTTTGTAATTAAACTCTCATAATTAGACTGCTGTGAACAGCGTGCGAGGAAGATTGCTAATGTACTATCACATGTGCCTCCCGCTGCTCTTTACACTACAATAATGTAAAGCTTGTTCGAGTGCTAATTGAGCCTTTAAAATATGGTGGAAATTAAAGCAAAAAATGCTACAGTTTTAGTACAGAATAATCTCCGATGCCAATGATGCCTTTTCTTGTTAGACTTTATTTATTTATAAACGTGTTCATTATTATAACTTTTTATACATTTATTATAACTTATTTATTCACCATTTCATTTAAAAAAATATGTTCATGTATTTTATTTATTCATTTAGGAATGAATTCTTCCATGTATTCATTCATCAAAAATATGTATAGATTTATGAAATCATTAATTATTAAAAAATGCATTCATTAATTTAACAATATTACTTTTTCATTCATTCATTTAAAATATTTTCTCTTTCATTTTCATTTATTAATACTCAAGAATATTTGTTCATTCATTTCTTGTTATTAGTTCATTAAAAATATTTGCTCATTCATTTGATGTATTAATTCAATAATAATATTTGTTCATTTATTAATTTCACTCACTCACTCACTCACTCACTCACTCACTCACTCACTCACTCACTCACTCACTCACTCACTCACTCACTCACTCACTCTCTCATCCACTCACTCACTCACTCACTCACTCACTCACTCACTCACTCACTCACTCACTCACTCACTCACTCTCTCATCCACTCACTCACTCTCTCATCCACTCACTCCCTCCCTCACTCACTCACTCTCTCATCCACTCACTCACTCACTCATCCACTCACTCACTCACTCACTCACTCACTCACTCACTCACTCACTCACTCACTCACTCACTCACTCACTCACTCACTCACTCACTCACTCACTCTCTCATCCACTCACTCACTCACTCTCTCTCTCTCTCATCCACTCACTCATCCACTCATCCACTCACTCACTCACTCACTCACTCACTCACTCACTCACTCACTCACTCACTCACTCTCTCATCCACTCACTCACTCACTCTCTCATCCACTCACTCACTCTCTCATCCACTCACTCACTCACTCTCTTTCTCTCTCTCATTCACTCACTCACTCACTCACTCACTCACTCACTCACTCACTCACTCTCTCATCCACTCACTCACTCACTCACTCACTCTCTCTCTCTCTCATCCACTCACTCATCCACTCATCCACTCATCCACTCACTCACTCACTCACTCACTCACTCACTCACTCACTCACTCACTCACTCACTCACTCACTCACTCACTCACTCACTCACTCACTCACTCACTCACTCACTCACTCACTCACTCTCTCATCCACTCACTCATCCACTCACTCTCTCATCCACTCACTCTCTCATCCACTCCCTCACCTCTCTCTCTCTCACTCGGTTGGGAGCAGGATTGGGTGGGTTCGGGGAAAGTACTGAAGTTGAGCTCAAACTAATCATTGATGTTTCTTAATTGATGTTGATCACCAAACCTCAACATGTTGGAGCTGACGCACAACACACCAGACTGTAATCTTTAAGCATGCAGATGCTAAACAGACACAGTTTATTAGGTTTTATAGGCAGGAATACTTCAGCCAGAAATGCCGTTTTGACGGCCACCATAAAAAACACATATTAAGCAACATTTAAATGCAGATCTCTATCACCAAACAACACAACAACGTGTGCGTAACATTTTTAAACTATCACTGGGCCAATAAATATGCAATTTAAGATCTCACAGCAGACTGGGGAAACATTCGGTGCCTCTGCGCCCTCAGTGGCCAAAACCAACAGCACATCACAAACATCACGGGATGTTTTATTACCACAACCACACCAACACGCAGTTCGCTTTCCCACGTTCCTCCATTAACCTCTGGAAATTAACCTCACAGCTGTTCGATTAGGAAAATATATAGTCAGTCGCTGATCATATCAACAAACCGTTTCTGTTCGGGAGAGATTACGGCGTCCGGGTCACGCTAATGTGTCAGGAAGAGACTTTAAAGAGCCGTTACTGATGTCTCCGGTGCGACCGCTAATAAACCTCACCTCTGCCATTTGTCCCATGAACATCGTTGAGGTATAAATCTTTTCATATTCAGTTTTATTAGCCCATGTGAGATTCAGCTTCATAAATGTGTTTGTGTGTGTTTTTATTTTTATTTTTTAGGTTCACTTTGAGTGTCACCGTCACTTTAAATTTCCAACATGTAACAAACAAACACTACAAATAACAAATCGTTATGACAAAAATAAATAAAAACAAAGTCAGAAAAACAAACAAAAAAATCACATAAATTTGTCATACTGCAATGCATATTCTAATATAAAATATTTTTTTTTCAGACAACTTTAGGCTATTCGAAACAACATTTGACGGGAATATCTTTGTTTTACCATGTTTTTATATCTATTACTGTATGTAGATTCAAAGTAATTCACATGTTTATCTGTGACTCATAAGCCCGTAAAATGATCTGTACTCTGGCAAAGAAAAAAAGTACTAATGGAAATAATTACTCAAGTTGTAATAAAAGTAACAATGTTAAAAATGAGTAAGAGTAGGAAAGTCTCCAATGGAAAGACTAGTAGTGAGTACTAGTTACTTCAGATCTGATTCAGAACAAGAAAGATGATTATGTCAGTGAAATATTACAATAGAATTAAAATAATTATTTTATTCGTGGATGGGGCATCAATCATGCCCCAGTTAAAAGAGACAGTGCCCTAACGACAGGAATGTTGCCCAGTGTAACGAAGTAAAAAGAACATTTTTTTGTCATTAGAAATGCGCTTGAGTAAGAGTGAAAGTACACACACCTTTAAATGTACATATTCTCCAAAATATACTTAAGTAAATGGGAGTAAATATAGCGTGTTGCTACACACCTCTGGTGGACCTGGATTAACATTTTCTAAAAGTTAATCTGAGCTGAGAATATTACACTATTATTAGTAGATTTATGAAAGTGTTTTGAAATTAGACATATTTTCACTATTTTTTTCCTTCTTTTAATCATTTAAAACTCTTTCAAATGCATCTTAATCTACCTAGATTTTTATTTTATGAAATCTATTTTTTTTTAAATTGTTTTGGTTTTTATTTTTTTTTATTTTTTTTTTGCACAGATTGTAGCCTGGCTTGTTTAGTTTAGTTTAGTTTAGTTTAGTTTAGTTTTGCTTTGGTTTGGTTTGGTTTGGTTACATTGTATCCTGGCCTGGCCTGTTTTGTTTTGTTTTGTTTTTTGTTCACATTGTAGCATGTTTTGTTTTGTTTTGTTTTGTTTTGTTCACATTGTAGCTTGTTTTGTTTTGTTTTGTTCACATTGTAGCTTGTTTTGTTTTGTTTTGTTTTGTTCACATTGTAGCCTGTTTTGTTTTGTTTTGTTTTGTTCACATTGTAGCCTGGCCGTTTTGTTTTGTTTTGTTTTGTTTTGTTTTGTTTTGTTCACATTGTAGCCTGTTTTGTTTTGTTCACATTGTAGCCTGGCCTGTTTTTTTTTTTTTTTTGTGTGTTTTTTTTTTTTTTTTTTTTTTTTTTTTTTTTTGTTGTTTTGTTTTGTTCACATGTCATGTTTTGTTTTGTTTTTTTGTTTTGTTTTGTTTTGTTCACATTGTAGCCTGGCCTGTTTTGTTTTTGTTTTTTGTTTTGTTTTGTTCACATTGTAGCCTGGCCTGTTTTGTTTTTGTTTTTTGTTTTGTTTTGTTTTGTTTTGTTTTGTTCACATTGTAGCCTGGCATGTTTTGTTTTGTTCACATTGTAGCCTGGCATGTTTTGTTTTGTTTTGTTCACGTTGTAGCCTGGCCTTTTTTTTTTTTCTTTTTTTTTTTTCACATTGTAGCCTGGCATGTTTTGTTTTGTTTTGTCCACAATACTTTTGTTTCTTATGCACTAAAACTTGGAAACTGTCATCTTGCGTCACACAGTAAAAAGTGGGGCAACAGATGAATTAAGAGAAAGCTTTAAATTCATTAAGACATTTGGAAGAAGCTCGTTCATGTCTGCCCATGGTCAGAGGAGAGCTCAACATCAGACACTGAGACAGCAGACGTCTGTCATCTCCTCCCACTGTAGAGGAGCAGTGCTGGAAGAAAGAGAAGAAACAGAGATCATTGAAAACTGAAATTGAAAGTGAAAGTGACAGGTGAAGGCCAAGTAACACTCTGAAGTTGTCCTCTGCATTTAACCCATCCAAGTTAGAGCACAGACATTAGGAGTAGTGAGTAGTGAACACACACTGGAAACCATAACACACTTCGCTGTGGCGCCCGGGGAGTGATTGGGGGTTAGATGCCTTTCTCCTGCCAGTATTGAGAATCGAACCCGCGACCTTCGGGTCACCAGTCCGACTCTCTAACCATTAGGCCACGACTGCCCCACAACCACTGACACAATCATTGTGTCATCCCACAGTTTTCACATGTCATTTGAATATTTCTTTGTCTTGTCCTTGGACAGTCACAGGGACCTGAAGCCGGAGAACCTGTTGCTGGACGAGAAGAATAACATCAGGATAGCAGACTTCGGGATGGCGTCTCTGCAGGTGGGGGACAGTCTGCTGGAGACCAGCTGTGGGTGAGTGAACATGATGAGGACAAGCACTGTGTTCAGCTCAGGCCGTAGAGGACGTCAGTTACTCTCCTCCTACCTCCGTGAGCTAAGCTTTAGTCACACTAAACATATGTGTAAAGAATAGCATGTCCTCCACAGTTGCTAAACCCTATAAAGCCACGATTCCAAGACCTCTAAATTAGTATCATTTTAAAAGTACTGATTTTAATAAAGTAAGAAGAACTTTTATATCATTATTAATATTTTAAGATGAACACTTACTGGACTTGTTTATCTATAAATGTAGTTTTTTAGGAAAATCATGTTAAAATGTGAGTATCAAATATGATGCATCAGGCTTTTGAGGAACGTTGATTTGCACATCTGTCAATCATTACTGTATTGCCTTGTTTTGCCCCTACAATACAAGTCACAAAGCTTTGATCATAAAACCAAACATCTCACTAAGAAATAATATTCTGAGATATAGAGTGACAACTGATATTTGTATGCACTTTCTGTTACACAGTTATAAAGATTTCATTTATCTACATTATATAAATAATTTGATCAGAATTTAAACTTACTTTTTGGCCATATAAATATCAGCAACTGCACCAAATTGCATATTTTTCATCATCAAAATCAATGGTGAAATGAAACACATTACATTAGTAAGCAATAAGGTACGAGAGGCTGTGCTGTATCGTGAATAAGTAACGGCTGGAGGGCGTTGTTAGGCACGACGCGAAGCGGAGTGCCTGCAACCCCTTCAGCCGTTACTTATTCACGATACAGCACTTGCCTCGAGTACCTTATTGCTTTTATAAAACGGTTGCCACACAATAAAAATATTAAAGCCGAAAAATATGTATCTATGCAACTTTCATGAAGTAAAATCACTAAAAGCCTGCCTTCCGCTGGAAAAAATAGTCCCGGAACGTGAACAGCAACAGAAGTTACATATATTATTTCGCCAATAGATGGCGGCAAAGACTGTCTTTATGAGTGAGTGAGTGAGTGAGTCTGTAGAGAAGGCTTTTGAAAGGACTCGAACTTGTGATCACGGAGAAGACAGACGCAACTGACAGATGACTAACGTTATGCACGGAAAACCCCATGACTGTTAAAAGGACTAAATATGCAGCGGACATTCAAACGCATTTTTTTATTATGAATATAGGACTGACCTGAAGGAAAATGCTACGTCTACTGTAAATGCAGGTACACTCGCTTACTCGATCTCTCACAATCAGGGCCTGAAGTTAACTTTTTTGGCCACCAGCCACTGTGGCAGGTGGATATAAAAATTCACCTGCCACAGAGACTTTTTACCAGCCTTTTTTTTTTTTTTGGCTCATAGCCTAAAGGTGAAAAACGGGAATTTCACAATATTGTTCTTTAACTTGTACACATTTAAGTGCTGTCAAGTTATTAACGAAATCAATATAAGTAATAATAACTCTTAGAATATACATTTAAAAAAAAATCTTTTTATTCATTGATTTTGACACACACATGCACAACAGATCTATAGACCTACCGCAGCTCGTATGTAAACAAATCACCCGCGGCTGTGTTGATGGCTGATTTAGTCACGTAGACAGCTAGGTCCTGACAGCTTTTAGTTACAGCGTTCAGGAACCGTTAAGCAGAACTAAATTAATATTATTATTGGTAAAGTTACCGGGTACCGGACATTTTCTCACCGGTTCCCAACTCCCAACATGTACTACAGTTGCACACGCACACATCTGTGCAACTGTCATTGTTCTGGAGCCTACGTCAGCGTTACATTATTTCATCCCATCTCACCAACAGTTCAATACTGGCACATCCAAACGTAGTCAGAAAAGGGCCTCATCTTCTTTCTGATCGCATGAACGTTACGAAACAACAGTCGCTGTCATAAATCAGCCGCTCACGAACCTTGCCGTTGTCTCTTATTTTACTTTTCTTTTACTCATCCTCATCTTTTTGTTGGTTGTTTGTTTCAGCTGGCCTTTTTACCCCAGTAATGTGCCGCCACATTATAGCTAAGGTCCAACGCAATGAAAATGAAAACGTAAAAAAAAAACCTAATGAATCACTCAATTCTCATTGGCTACCTGCCAATGTGGCAGGTAGATTGACAGTGTTACCCGCCAATAGCAAAATTCACCCGCATTTGGCAGGTGGTCGGGTGTTAATTTCAGGCCCTGCTCACAATGCTCTGCTCTAGCTTTAAATGAACAATATCAATGAGATGAAACATCTGTTTAAGTTGCTAAGAGTGGTTGCTAGGGGTGTTGTGTAGTGATACATAGAACCGTTGGGTGAAGCGGTCATAGCCGTGTTTTATCGTGAATAAAGCACAGCTATTGACCAATCAGAATCAAGGATTGGAACTAACCGTTTTATAAGTTTAATTAAAGACTGATAATTAAGTATAACGGAGACTTAAAGGATTAGTTCACTTTTAAAAAAACTTTTGCTGATAATTTACTCACCCCCATGTCATCCAAGATGTCCATGTCTTTCTTTCTTCAGTCGAAAAGAAATTAAGGTTTTTGATGAAAACATTCCAGGATTTTTCTCCATATAATGCACTTTGCTGGGCACCAAACGGTTCAAGGTCCAAAAGACAGTTTCAGTGCAAACTGCAAACTGTTCAAAGGGCTTTAAACGATTCCAGACGATGAATAAGGGTCTTATCAAGCGAAACGATCGGTCATTTCAAAAATAAATAACAAAGTTTAAGTTTAATAATGTCAAATGCTCGCCTTGCTCTGTTCTGTGATGCACGTTCGTGACTCTCCTGTTCGAACTCGTTCATCAAAATGAACAAATCTTTTTCGAGTCATTTGGTTCATTTAACGAACGAAATGAATGAATTGACTCGGAAAAAGATTCGTTCATTTTGATGAACGAGTTCGAACAGGAGAGTCACACAGAACAGAGCAAGGCGAGCATTTGAGCTTATAAAACTTAAACTTTGTTATTTCTTTTTTAAATGAGCGATCGTTTTACTTGATAAGACCCTTATTCATCGTCTGGTGTCGTTTAAAGCCCTTTGAACAGTTTGCAGTTTGCACTGAAACTGTCTTTTGGACCTTGGACCGTTTGGTGCCCAGTAAAGTGCATTATATGGAGAAAAATCCTGGAATGTTTTCATCAAAAACCTTAATTTCTTTTCGACTGAAGAAAAAAAGACATGGACATCTTGGATGACATGGGGGTGAGTAAATTATCAGCAAAAGTTTTTTTAAAAGTGAACTAATCCTTTAAATGGTTCAAGTTAATTTAGCACAATCCAATAGTGTTTTGGCGGAAACCGAAATATATGTTTGTTATTTTAAGAAAAGATATTTAAGTGAAACGAATAATGCCACAAAACCTTTGTTGACGTCGTGATAACGTCGTGGATGGCCGTCGGTCAACCATTTGCCGTGTTTTACTTCTGTACCTTTAAGACTTCAATATATAATTAATGTCTGTTATGATTGGCTAAACTTTTTTTGCATCTGAAATGAGTAACAGCATCTCTGCCAAGGTTCTGGGATAGGAGCTTTGAGTTGTAAATAATCAGTATTTTTTTATTTAAACAAGCAAAAAAAACATCCTGTTTTTCATCATTATAAATGTAATGTACATTATAACTTTAGCTCAGAAAAATGTCACAATCTGGAAAATAAATGAATCTAGGCTAGTTTATGTAAAATATGATTTCTTGTTGTGAATTTTTGACCTGAACATCTCTTCTAAGGGGCCGTTTACACAACACCGATTTCAACTAAAAACGGAAAACGTTTAAAGCGTTTTGGCTGTTCATTTTACACAACAGTGGCGTTTTGGGGGCCTGAAAGCACAAACTTTTAAAAATGGGTTTTCAAAGTGCACGTTTTTGAAAGCAATGCGTTATCGTCTCCATGTAAACTACAAAAATTTGAATTTGTGAAAACGGTGACCTCATGCGCATGTACAGTATATTACATGTTCAGTCTATAGGCGCATTACAAAGTGACATCACCATCTAACGCATGGCTGCAGAACTCAGCGCTTTTAGTCGTTTCGTGGATCAGTGCGAACGGGGATCGGTTTGACAATGTTGACGTTTTTAGTGCATCATTGTTGAGTAAATGTACCCTCAGATTTGCTCAAACGTATCATTATTCACTGCCTTCAGCTCCTTGTCAGTCACACAGTGTCCACACAGATCTCTAGGACACAAACACAGAGGGAGAGAGAGAAGAGAGAGGTCATTCTTCCTTCGCTCGTCTGTGACTCTAGACATGCTCACTCAGGAGTAAAGCATTACCTTGAAGGACACACATTATACTTCACCACAGTGACTCACCATGATCTTATCTGTAAATTATGGAAGACTAGAAGTAGAAGTACAAAATGTATCAATTATTAATTAAAAATAGGTTATAAAATAAATAGACGTCTTTTTAAAAGCATTCACTACCTTTCAAAAGTTTGGGGCTGGTTAGATGTTTTGAAAGAGGTCTCACAAGGCTGCAGATATGTGATCAAAAATACAGAAAAAGCAGCAATATTGTGAAATATTATTACCGTTTAAAATAACTGTGTATTACTCCAGTCTTCAGTCACATGATCCTTCAGAAATATAACTTATTTGAAATAAAAATAAAAATTAACCTTGTTGACCCTTTTGAACAACTGAATGCAATTGTTAAATAAATGAATAGTTCATCCATTTGCGAGTTGAGATTAAAAAATGTCAGTGTACCAATGTGGAGTCAGCCAATGACCTGTCGGCTGAGTTTTATGACACGCCCCCTCTGACATCATAAGTGTGATTATCTGTCATGAAAACGCAGTGCTTTCTTTTCTTCCGTTGTTTGGTCGAGGCCTGGTGTGAAGAGATAGGAGCCCGACTCATTTACTGCCCTTTATTTCTTTCTTAATGTAATCATTTCCCCTTTCAAAAAGCGACTTTGCCCCCCACCTATGCCATAAAACCTTTAGCCTTTTGTCAGTTGATTAATTTTGCCATGCTTGCCCGACCTTTAGGATTACACTCAGACATGGCCATAGATTAAACCCAGTGTAATAAAATCAGCGCGTCGTTCCCGTACACGAGTCGCCTCGTGTTATATGAGCACAGCTCTGCAGAGGTCGAACGGGGCGTCCTGTACCTCTGTGTGCTGGCGTCCCGGACACCTCAGGTCAGGATCTGCAGGACAGGGAGTCACAGAAGCCTCCCAGCGCCCTGACTCAACATCGGCTATCAGAAGCAATCTGTTCGGGTGCCGTCATCATCCTAACAATCGTCTCCGATGCAGCTTTGTGTTGAGCCGGGCCGGATGTCCTTGACGTCTCCAGCGACCCCCGAACTATTTTAAACCCCACCCTGAAGGGGTTTATTCTGTGATAGTATCAGTGCTTCATCCACGCGCATTACATAGTTTCTTAGTAAATACATTCATACTGTACATGGATATATATATAAAAATATTTATTTATTTTTTATTTGTAGATTTGAGAAAGTCAAGAAAAGCTGAACTTTTATGCTAACTTTATTGGTATTATTTTTTTGTGTTTTTTGTTTATTAGTCATTATGAAGGGAGAGGGCAGAGATCATGTGACCCTCCTCTCAGCTGCTGTAATGATGGAAATATGAAGGAAGAATAGATCCTGTTTACAGTTAATACGACATGTGTCTGACCACGTACTGGGACTCTTTTAAGAAAAGTAAAACGTTTAAATCATTAATTATTTTAAAAACATGTTTTTTTATTTATTTACAGTTTGTGTTTATTTGTTTGTTCATTAATATTATTCATTAATTAATTAAAAAAAATTGTATCTCTTCAGCAATTCCTTCTTTTAAAAAGATTTCATTCATTCATTTATCACTACAAATATTTGTTCTCCATTTATCAATTCATTATTCGTGTATTCATTAATTCATTTTTTGAAAATCTATTAAATCATTAATTCTTTTAAATCATTTCTCCATATATTCATTAATTAATTCATTTAAAAACATCATTCATTCATTTATTAATTATTTTTAAATCCTCATTCTTTCATTAGTTTAAACATATTTGTTCAATTTATTTATTATTCATTCATTAATCCATTCATTTGTTAATCCATTTAAAAACATTGAATCTATTTATGTAATCATTCTTTCAAAAACATTTGTTCATTCATTCTTTTAATAAATGTATTTATTAATTAATCTATAGTTCTACTCAGATGTTTCCCTTATTCGTGTAACATGTGATTCGTCTCAGACCAATGAATGCCTTTTTATCCAATCCGGCGTCAGATAATATGACCATTATTGCTTCTGATCTTCATGCCTTTCGCTAGTGTTTACGCTGTTTATTTCTGTATCCCTATTACATGCATCATTTTGGCTTAATGATCATTGTACATTACAGCAAAAAGACACATTTGAACCCGTATGTCTGGTGGTTTGCACACCCACATCTGATATGTGCTGTCATTGGTGGAGGAGTTGAGCAGGAGCGAGGGGAAATGAGCTCTGGCAAACAGCTTGGAGTGGATAAATGATCCGGCACACGTACTGCAGGGTTCCTCCATAAACTCATCCGTTAATGGCTCTATTTTTAGCTCTAATTTGCCTTCCTCATCAACATAAACAATGAAAGCATTTTACGGCCTTAAAACATCCGATTGGTTTTGATCTCTGAGATGTGACGCTCCTGCTTTAGATGAAAACAGCTGAACGGCTGTGGGTATGCCCTCAGAATCATAACCATCGAGCCGGCCGGTCTAGGCTAATGTGTTGAGGGCAATGCGTGTGGAGTGAAACTGCAGTGTGTTTTGATGTGTGCTGAACAGCTTCTGCAATGTTTTCTGAAAACAGTGGGTTGTTACGTCTGACCCATGATCTGGGTTACTCAAAAACTTCCCAAACACTGGGTTGTTTCGTCTGACCCATGATCTGGGTTATTCAAAAACTTCCCAAAAACTGGGTTGTTACGTCTGACCCATGATCTGGGTTACTCAAAAACTTCCCAAACACTGGGTTGTTACGTCTGACCCATGATCTGGGTTACACAAAAACTTCCCAAACACTGGGTTGTTACGTCTGACCCATGATCTGGGTTACTCAAAAACTTCCCAAACACTGGGTTGTTACGTCTGACCCATGATCTGGGTTACTCAAAAACTTCCCAAACACTGGGTTGTTACGTCTGGCCCAAAAAGCTCAACCTTGGAATTGGACAGATAAAATAACTCAAGATTTTTAAGGGTTTTTTAGGGTTATTTGTACAACCCTGTTTTTATAGCACCAAATAACTAACTAAAACTAAACCGAATACTTGAACATATTTCAGCAGGATGAGAACAACCTAAAATGACTGAAACCATCTTAAAATAATAATAATAAATAAATGTAATTGGATCTAATTTGGTTCAGTCCCATTTGATTACACATAGAGGGTGGGGTTTATGACCTATACTGGGTCCAGCCACCAGAGGGCGATCGAAATGCCGTGGCTTCACGTTTTAGGACATATGCGGCACACTTGATTAGCACCAACGCGCACCTTGGAAGCGAATCCGAGCGCTGATGATACGTTTGATTCAATAGTAAAAGTGATAATAAATTCTAGCCATTTCATTCTTAACCAACGTACAGTTGGAAACGGAATAAAACTCGAGCGTTTGAGTAACCGAACACGCATCTCCTATATTGCTCCTGACGTGTCAGTGGTCGCTTTGGCCAGGTGGTGTTTATAGCATAGGGGGCGGAGCTTTAGATTCTAGAGAGCATTTGATTGGACAGAAGATGCGATAAGAAGCTGAAGTCCACGGTGATGTCATACAAATCCCTGATCCATTTTAGCGGAAGTGAGAGACTGTAAGTTATGAATGCTTATATCTCCTAAATGCGAATTTAACATTGTTTTGGACACACACCAGCTTATTCATAACCTTAAGGCTAACATATTCATACTAAAAGCTAAAAAAACTTTCATTTTGATTTCAGGGAGCCTTTAAACCCGAACGGCAGCTTCATGGTTGACGTTTGTAGTGTTTCTGTATGCAGCTGGAGTTCTTCACGTCGAACACGTTTAGATGATAAGAAGAAGCTCTCACTAACTGGATTCACATTTGCATATGCGCGCTTGTAAAGGTTTTTGAGGGATCATGGAGATGTTTGCAGCTTACCGAGAAACTCCCAATAATATGATTAACTCTGAGCGCGCCTGTTTATCTCTGAACAAGAAAACGCGGGAAGAGTTTCATGCTGTAGAATAGGATTTGTCAGGAAAGATTAATGGAGACAGGATGTCAGCTGGTGCAACAGGAAGTGCTGTCAACATTGTGTGACCCTAATTACTCCGGGAAGATGTTGTCGTCTTCTTTAGTGTGTCTTTGTGTCCCTCCAACCACATCTTGATATTAATCATTCTCAGCAAACAGTGTCAGACGTCACGGATCAGCGCCTCTTAAACTCAGTGCTTTTGCTTCTGGGTGTTACAGCTTTTGTAGAGATCTGTGTTGTCTTCGAGGATTTTAAATTTTTTTTGCTAGACAGAAATAATATAGTGACAGGAATTATTTTGGAAAGATCAGGAGAGGTTTTTGTAAGAAGTGTCTTCTGCTTCACCAAAGCTGCATTTATATGATCAAAAATACAGTGAAAAAGTAACATTGTGAAATATTCTTACAATTTAAACAAATTATTTTCTAGTTTAATGTTATTTAATATGTCATTTATTCCCACGATGGTCAAGCTGAATTTTCAGTCTTCGTTGTCGCGTGATCCTTCAGAAATCATTGCGTACAGTATTTCTGTGCTCTGGAAATCAGTGCTTTTGAACTGTGTGTTTTAGTGAAATATTCATTGAAAGCCCCATGTTGCAATTTTCATGTTTTAGTTCAAATATATGTTGGTAATTTTTGTACTGTCAACTGTCACAGTGGTACATAGTAATAAATGAATATAAGAGCTGCAAGAATCTGAATAAATTGAGAATATGTACACTACCGTTCAAAAGTTTGGGGTCGGTACGATTTTAAAAGAATTTTAAAAGAATTCTCTTCTGCTAACCATGGCTGCGCTTATTTGATTAAAAATACAACAAAAATCAGTTATAGTATTAAATATTATTCCAGTGTAAATCAGCTGTTTTCTGTGTGAATATATAGTAAAGTGTAATTTATTCCTGTGATCAAAGCTGAATTTTCAGCATCACCAGTGTCAGTGTCTTTAGTGTCAAATGATCCTTCACAAATCAGTATAATATGAGGATTTGATGCTCAAGAAACATTTATTATTATTATCAATGTTGAAACAGTTGTTGGTCTGTCAGTTGTACAGTTTTTTTGTTTTTTTTTTGGATTCTTTGATGAATAGGAAGTTCAAAAGACTTTTGTAACATTATAAATATCTTTACTGTCACTTTCGATCAAATTAATTATTCCTTGATAAATAAAAGTATTGATTTCTTTCCTCCAAAAAATAAAAATAAAATTCTCACTGACCCCAAACTTTTGAACGGTAGTGTATATATATATATATATATATATATATATATATATATATATATATATATTAAAATAGAAATTCTCCCACGATTCTAGGTTCTGACAAAATTTATTTTAATTGATGTAAAAAAAAAAAAAATAGTTTTGAATGAATGATTCAATGACTCGCTCAAAAAGACTTAACTTGTTTCATGAATCAGCGTTTTTGAACAAATCTCTTGAATGATTCAATGATACATACATTTGAAACAATCACTAATCACTTATTAATGTAATGAATACCATACATATTACAATATATATATTTCAAATATTTTTATATAATTATTTAATATAATTCGAATTATTCTGTGTTCATTTAGTGTGAAAAACATTTTTATAATAATACAAAATTATAATAAAAAAAAATTATTTTAGGTATTTAAATATACATTTGTTAGTATTTGAAAGATATAAAATAATAAAAATGAAATTTCTCAGTAACTGAACTCAGTGATGTCTTTTCTCAGATCTCCTCATTATGCGTGTCCTGAGGTGATCCGGGTGAGTATTACTTTTACTTTGTGGAAGAAAAAAGAGAATTATGAATGGACGAGCTGATCTCTAATGAGAGTTATTGCACTGTGTGTTATAGGGAGAGAAGTATGACGGAAGGAAAGCAGACGTGTGGAGCTGTGGGGTCATTCTCTTCGCTCTGTTGGTGGTGAGTCACTCGAGACTTTACCTCAGACAAATACAACATTTCCGTCAACAATTACTCACATTCATGTTGTCCTAAACCCACATTCATTCACTTCTTCCGAGAAACATGAAATATGTTTGCGATCAGTGTATGGAACGAAGATTAAAGACTCATTTTTGCACGAGCTATAGATATTTTCCCTTCAGTTCAGTCAAATTATGTAGAAAGTCACGAACAACATTCAAACGTTGCTGATTTGAAAAGAGTGATGGATATTGAAGATAAAGTCATGTTTTCAGAATGTCATCGTCGAGCCTTTTTCATCAGAAACTGTATTTTGTGTAAAGGAACATGCATATGTGAATGAAGGCTGGGAATTGATGTTTGTAAGTCCCAAAGACTAAAGTTTTGAGCAGGTGTTGGACTGCATTATTAGCAGATGCAGATTTGAACCGCAGCGATGTCCCAGGATCATCGGAAATGCTCTTGTTCTGTTTGGAGGGTAAAAGCGGAGACGCTTGAGTCTGAGGGGTTTGTCTCTCCACACGGAGACTCTGGCCTGCAGTTTAAACCACAGCCGGATTGGTTTTGACGTTCTCTCTTCAGAGATCATTCTGTGAAACTGCAGAACAGACGAGCGCTGCACGTTACATGCAAACATGCACTTTTCCCTTTCCCTTCACCTCGTCTGGTCTCTTCTGCCCTCTTTTATCTTTTTTATCTCATCTCGTCTCGTTTTGTCTCTTTTCTTTTCTCATCTCATTTCGTCTCGTCTCATTTTTGTCCCTTCTTTCATTTTGTCTTATTTCGTTTGGTCTTGTCAAGTTTTTCTGTTTTTCTCTGGTCTTATCTCATCGAGTCTATTAATTTCACCTCGTCTTGTCTTGTTTTCGTTCTCTTCTTTCATTTAGTCTAGTTTGTCTTTTCTCTTGTTTCATTTTGTCTCATCGCAAGTTGTTTCGTCTCTTCTCTTCAGTTTTCATCTCGTCTCATCTCACGGCGTCTCATGTCACCTTGACTCTTGACTCTTTTATTTTGTCTCATCTTGTTGCGTTTCATTTTGTCTTGTTTTGTTTGGTCTAGTGCGATACAGTTGTCTCTTCTCTTCTGTTTTCCTTTCATCTCGTCTCATGTCAGCTTTTCTCTTCTTTTATTTTGTCTCATTTCGTTTGGTCTTGTCAAGTTCTTCTGTTTTTCTCTGGTCTTATCTCATTTTGTCTCAGCTCATATCACCTTGTCTTGTCTTGTTTTTGTTCTCTTCTTTCATTTTGTCTCATCTCAGGTTGTTTCGTATCTTCTCTTCAGGTTTTTGGCTCATCTCATCCCAATGCATCTCATTTTATCTCGTCTCATGTCACCTTGACTCTTTTTGTTTGGTCTCGTGCCATATTGTTTTGTCTCTTCTCTTTTGTTTTCCTTTCATCTCATTGAATCTCATCTCATGTCAGCTTGTCTCGTCTCATTTTTGTCTCTTCTTTTATTTTGTCTCATTTCGTTTGTTCTTGTCAAGTTCTTCTGTTATTCTCTGGTCTTATCTCATTTTGTCTCGGTTCATGTCACCTCGTCTTGTCTTGTTTTTGTTCTCTGTTTTTGTTCTCATTTTGTATATATCGTCGTTTCATTTTGTCTCATCACAAGTTTTTTTCATCTCATCTCATCTCACGGCATCTCGTTTTATCTCGTCTCATGTCACCTTGACTCTTGACTCTTTTATTTTGTCTCATCTTGTTGCATTTCATTTTGTCTTGTTTTGTTTGGTCTCGTGCGATACAGTTGTCTCTTCTCTTCTGTTTTCCTTTCATCTCGTCTCATGTCAGCTCGTCTCGTCTCATTTTTGTCTCTTCTTTTGTTTTGTCTCATTTCGTTTGGTCTTGTCAAGTTCTTCTGTTTTTCTCTGGTCTTATCTCATTTTGTCTCGGTTCATTTCACCTCATCTTATTTTTGTTCTCTTCTTTCATTTTGTCTATTTCGTCTTTTCTCTTGTTTCATTTTGTCTCATCTCAGGTTGTTTCGTATCTTCTCTTCAGGTTTTTGGCTCATCTCATCCCAATGCATCTCATTTTATCTCGTCTCATGTCACCTTGACTCTTTTTGTTTGGTCTCGTGCCATATTGTTTTGTCTCTTCTCTTTTGTTTTCCTTTCATCTCATTGAATCTCGTCTCATGTCAGCTTGTCTCGTCTCATTTTTGTCCCTTCTTTCATTTCGTCTCATTTCGTTTGGTCTTCTCAAGTTATTCAGTTATTCTCTGGTCTTATCTCATTTTGTCTCGGTTCATGTCACCTCGTCTTGTCTTGTTTTTGTTCTCTTTTTTTGTTCTCTGTTTTTGTTCTCATTTTGTATATATCGTCTTTTCTCTTGTTTCATTTAGTCTCATCACAAATTTTTTTTGTCTCATCTCATCTCACGGCATCTCATTTTATCTCGTCTCATGTCACCTTGACTCTTTTATTTAGTCTAATTTCGTTTGGTCTTGTCAAGTTCTTCTGTTTTTCTCTGGTCTTATCTCATTTTGTCTCGGTTCATTTCACCTCATCTTATTTTTGTTCTCTTCTTTCATTTTGTCTATTTTGTCTTTTCTCTTGTTTCATTTCGTCTCTTCTCTTCAGTTTTCGTCTCGTCTCATCCCAATGCTTCTCGGTTTATCTCGTCTCATGTCACCTTGACTCTTTTATTTTGTCTCATCTTGTTGCACTTAATTTTGTCTTGTTTTGTTTAATCCTGTGCCATATTGTTTTGTCTCTTCTCTTCTGTTTTCCTTTCATCTCATTGAATCTAGTCTCATGTCACCTCGTCTCGTATCATTTGTGTCTCTTCTTTTGTCTTATCTCATCATTTTGCATTTAATTTGGTCTTGTCTCTTCTCTTCTGTTTTTTTCTCTCTCAGGATCACTGCTCTCGTCTCATCTCATTGTCTCACTTCGTGTCACTGTAAGCCCGTCTAAATCGGTCCAATGGCGGTGTCCGATAGAACGGGTGAAGGTCTCTGCGCGTTACTGTCTTTCCGCGTGGAAAAGCTTTTATCTTACTCCCTTTTATAAAGACCTCGAATTTAGGTTAGCTTGCCAATTGGTTATTGGTCAATTATATAATAGTTTAGCAATACATTTGATTGTTCTATTTAACTCTTTACTCTATATTTTACTCGTTCATTAGGAAGCTATGTCGCTCAGAGACTCTCGTGCCGGCCGTTTACGCGGATCTCACGATCACAAACTCGCCGGTCTGATCGATAACCAGAGGTTATGGCTAAAGCAGTTCAACAATGCCGCACACATGCTTGCTATTGTTAAAAAGTACCCATGTAGCCCCCTACAGTCACCCATATAACAACTTAGTTAAAGTCCAAACAATAACCAGAGGTTATGACTAGTACATTAAAGGGATAGTTCGGCCAAAAATGATATTTAACACATGCATTACTCACCCTCAAGCCGTTCGAGATGCATATGTCAATCTTGTTTCAGACGAACACATTTTCAGTTATTTTAGAAAATGTCTTAGACCCTTCAGTGGATATAATGTGAAGCAATGGGGTCCACCTCCTTCAAGTCCCAAAATGTGCATAGATCCTTCACAAAAGTAATCCATCCGGCTCCAGGGGGATAAACGAAGGCCTTCTGAGGGTAATCCGTGCGGTTTTGTCGTAAAAATATACATATTTAAAACTTTATAAATGAAAATATCTGACTTCCGGCAACGATCGACGCGCGTTCACGGGTGATGGAAGTCGGCGTACGAGGAGGACGTAGCGTAGGAACTGTCGTGACGTAGACGTTGTTTTGCTCTGCTCTCTGGCTGCGCAGGCGCGTTCGTTCTACGTCACGACGGTTCCTACGCTACGTAGGAACTATCCCTTTAAGATAATGCTGCTTTAACGCTTGCTATTACCTTAATAGTATTTTTATCTAGCCCTCTACAGTCGACTGCATAACAACTAGTTAAAGGGTCATGATACCCTCCTCTTTCAGCTCAAGTCTAGCTCACAATCTTTTTGAAAAATGCAACTTAAATGGGCGTGGATGGCTCTGAGAAGAAGGGAGGGGAGTGGGTGTGGAATGGCCATCACTGTCATCGCCAATGTCCCATGCATATCGACTGTCACTAAAAAGCAGTGGTAAAACGATAAAACGATGGTAACTGAATGCCCTGCTACATATATTAGCCTACAGTAATCGTAATTCTATTTAAAACATATTGATGTAGGCTACATGTATAATTATAATGTTATTATAAAATATATAGTGGTTTATATAGACACACTATAAATGCATTTGAAAATCATTAATTTTCCGCTTAAAAAAATCGTTCCGTGTATAGCCTAGATCTACGCGTCCCCTGAACCCCCATAATAAAGATGGCTCTGCGGAGGTGGATGATTGACTTCTCATTTTAGACACACACACACGCACACACACACACACATACACACACACACACACACACACACACACACACACACACACACACACACACACACACACACACACACACACACACACACACACACACACCTCTGAAGGGATAGAAAAGTCCTCGGGACTTGGTACCGCATCACTCGCAAGACGCAACCTGCATTGGTTGTCAACAAGGCGAAGTCCACCATTCTCCACTTCTCGAAGCTCTCTGTTTGCGGCACACACTATAGTTTAGATGTGTCCATGGTTGATGGCAAACCAACCGTCCAGAGCCAGAGCCTAGCCCTGGCAGCATTGCGGGGAAACATATTCAACCCACTTGGACTTTTGTACCACGAAAACAAACACTTGCGTCCCATGATTGCCTCTCTCATCTACTACGCGATATCACAGTTTGACATGTCTGTCATTGGAAAGATCCACGTGGTGTCATGAATAATTAAGAGACAGTGTCTTCTCATAGGATATGAAAACTCAGTCTCATTAATAATTATGAGACACCGATGAGTCATCAACGCACTCGCAGTGCACTGACACGTCACAGCCTGTGACGTGGACACGATGAAGATTTTAAACCCGGAAGACGAAAAAAACGGAAAAAAACTCAAATTTAACCATTTTAACCGTACTATTAAATCTAACAGATGCTAACATGGTCTTCAATGGTGTTCAACACACATACCTCTGATAAAATCTCAGAACATTTGGTTTGGGGTTTCATGACCCTTTAACATCACGCAGTTAGTCAGGAATCTAGCATCCCACTCACGCTCCATCTAAACTGGGATCTAGTATGTGCTTAACCCTGGACGCAGATTTGCGGAAACATCAGACTTAATTTAATCTATTAGAGAAAATAATTTCAGAGTAATTCAGAATAAAATCAAATGTAACAATTTATTATGTCAGGTAAATGTATTATGCCAATTTTCATAATCAGTTCAAAGATAATCAATACAATAACATCAAATCCTCAGAGATAAAGAGTAAAAGATGTAGGCTAAACCCGACATTTAGAAAAATAAAGTCTTTGAGGTCTTTCAACATTATGGGCTGATCTGAGTTACAGAATCACCCTGAGCCACTTCTTTCACATGGAAACATTTGCTAAGAATGGGAATTTGCATTCAGAGTTTACACCTTTTGAGAGCCGGATGCCGTTTGCCTGGAAGACACACACCCCGTGTGCAAGTTATCTCTAAACTCTGAAGAACTTTATTACCTTTTGGATTACTTCTTTGGGAATGAGACATTTGTACCAGTCGCACTGAGACATTTCAAATGATACCAGACATGTATGATAATTATTCACATTAAACCATATAGATTTTTGGGTGAATATCTGGTGGTCTCCGCGTGAGAGAGAGACATGAAGAGGGATGCTAGTTTCTCAAGAGAGAGTCAAATGTTAATTTCGAGAAAGGTCCTTTGTCTTTTCAGGCATTTTCTAATTCCTCAAGTCTTACATCACCATGCCTTGTCTTGTTGTTGTCAATTCTCATCTTATATTTTGTCATCATATTGAGATTTTTATCTTTTGTCTCTGCTCTTTTTAAATTTGGTCTCACCTCATCTTGTCTTGTTTTGTCTATTCTAATGGCATCTCATTTGGTCTTATCTCATGTTGTCTTGTTTTCTTCGTTCACTTTGTAACTCATCTAACTGCATCTCATGCCGTCTTGTCTCACTGAGTCTCACCTCCTCATCAATCTCTAATTCCATCTCAACTCATTTCACCTCATTTATTTTGCATCTTGTCAGTCTTCATAACTCATTGCATCTTGTTTTGTCTCGTCTCACATTTATTTTTTCTTTTATTTCTTTACTTCATGTTCTTCTGAAGTTCACTCATTCGTCCCTTTATGAAATATATATATTGACCTGATGTAGAAAGTCAGACGGTACCAAAACCCAAAATGAAATTGACTGCTGGCAGACAAACTGTGCTTCTGTAGACTTACTCTATGCTGAATACACAAAATCCTCTCAGATCCAAAGTGATTTGAGTGCATTTCTGCTCTCATCCTGTCTCTTTAGTTTTTTGTTATTCCTCTGTTTTGTTTTTTCATCAGAAATGAAACCTCATCATCCTCATCTATAGCATGTCAGCAGTACACACATGAAAAAGTTGCAAAGCAAGATTTAATAAATGAAAACTTAGCATTTATGGGTCAATCCTCTAAGCACTTTTCTTCTAATTTGTTCTATTTTCCATCAGTCCTCGTTTACTCTGTATTTCCCCTCAGATTGATGCATTGTCTTTCTTTTGTTGTCTGTGTCTTTCTTTCAGGGCGCTCTGCCGTTTGACGATGATAATTTACGAAACTTGTTAGAAAAAGTGAAGCTGGGGGTGTTTCACATGCCCCATTTTATTCCACCGGACTGCCAGAACCTCCTGCGAGGAATGATCGAGGTCGAAGCCGGGAAACGGTTACCGGTGAGTTCTGCCAAACTAGTGAGTTTGAACTAATGGGATCATGTCAAATGTGTTTATGGTTTTAGTTACATAACATCAGTTTCATATATATAAACTCAATTTTAATTTAATTTTAATCATGGTAAACTAACTAGTAATTTTAGGGTGTGTTCACACTTGTAGTTCGGTTCGTTTAGTCCGGATTAAAAAAAAAACACATTTAGTTCTGGTCCGCTTAGCGTTCACATTAGCATTTTTAACACTGAACCTACAGATACCGACCCTAAAGGCATGAGGATATGTTCACAACCCGATTGGCCGGCTTTTATGACGTAGATTTTGCAACTGAACTTACCGAACATACAAAACAATGCTGTGTTCTGGGATAAATGCACTTGTTTATCCCAAGTGACGTGGTTCTGATGCCTGTACTGAACTGTGATGGGCAACATCGCAACTATGATGAGGAAAAAACAGGTATGCTTGAGCTTTCTGTCCTTTTTAGAGTCGCATATTGTGACATCATGGACCGATTTTGGTTCATTTACATGTCTTTGGTCCGTGTTGCGTTCATATTTCAGTCGAAACCACACCAGAGTTCATTTGGAAGCGGACCAAGACCCATCTTTTCAGTGGTCTCGGTCCGCTTGTTTGGTCCAGACCAGGGTTTGGATGGCAGCGTTCACACTTATTCAAATGAACCGCACTAACAGAGAAATCGCACCAGAGTTCGTTTTATTCAAACCAAACCAAACCTGCCAAGTGTGAACACACCCTTAGTATCACCATAAAGTCGGGTCCACTTTGACACTGGATAAGAACTGGCCACTCAGACGGGCAGAGACGGCTTAACTGACATATAAAGTGACTATACTGTTTTTTTTTTTATGTGAAGCATGAAAAGGCTAATGCATTTTTGTGTGCAATATGTAAGAACTCATGAGAACTCACATTACTAAAGGCACTACACTATGTGACTTTTAAAATCAGAACAAATGAAAAAATTCTAGGCACTTGCCGACTTTATAAATGGTTACATGAAAAACTGGGCCGTGAGTCCGCTCTTTTGAAATGCCCTTCGGTGGCGCAGCGTTTTTCCAGTTGAGACGCTATACAGTATGTGCTTTGATACAGAATAACCACAGAACTGATACTAGTATCTGTTTTCGCAAATAGTTTGTTTCTGAATTTAAAAATGTCGATACAACGTACTGCCTCTGGCACGAGTATTGGATGAAGAGAAGTGGCGGTTGGGCGGTGTGGTATTTGTCCCGCCCCTCCTCCACTGTGATTGGACGGCTGGGTAAAAAGTGACAGTAATGAGCGCTGCGCTTTACGCACAGTTGAACATTCTTCAACTCTTGGCGACCGGTAGATAACATTCAGTGTGAAATAGATGCTAAGCGCCTCATGTTTTAAAAACTCGGCGCTCCCATTGGAAACAATTAGATAAATACGCTAGCCTCAGGAAAATACGCTTTTGGTGGAAACACGGCCTAAACGACATACACTACCAGACTTTTAATTCGTTCCGAATACAACAAACTCACATGAACACGTTGGATGTGCAGGAGATGAGCGCAGTAGTTGATGTAGCGTCTTTGTGTGTTGAGTCGCAAAAGAAAAAACGAGTTTTGGATGCGCTAGTTATTTTGTTACGCGAGCTCTTTTGTATTGTTATTGTATTTGTATTGTATTTTATTGCATCACTGGTAGATCAAGGACCGCTCCGCTTTCAGAAGCCTCATACACTACTATATGTGTTCTGAAATCGGCTCAAAATATCAAACATGTTTTGATGTCCTCTGACTGGATGGAAACATAGTCTGAAGCTAAAAAATCATATTCTGTGCCCATTATACACTAAAAAAATCTGCACGCGTTTGGCAATTATTGTCGACTCATCCAGACTGTAAATTGGAGCAAAAGTCGTAGTTTATTCCAGCCTTATGTTGGACAACATGGTGCAGATAATATCCCTTTGGTTGCAAATGTTTTTCATGTATAATAAATACGCTCAGCTAGCTCAGAGAAAGATGGGATTTTGGGACCGAATGGACAATTATGGGTAAACTTGAATACGAGTTTCTGGCGTTTCCTGACTCTCTTGTCTTAGATTCAGTGGGGAACCTTAACCCTGTGACTCGTCTATAAAGAGAAAGTTTGATGAGGAGATAGTAAAGCTAGTCGGACGGTTCAAAAGAAGAGCGTTTATCAGCGGTGAGGTTGTGTGTTTGGAGATCACCTCAGCTTGTCCAGACACATCTGCTATCACCGTGACCTTTCTCACTTCATATTCCAACCAAGAAAAAGCTGCTTTTGACCTGAATAAATGAATCAAAAGTCAGAGTCCCTCTGGAACGGCTGTCTGTCAGTTTGTCGGACGGTTGTGTTAAACACGTTGACAGGGGAAAGAAGGGACAGAATATTTGCTGAGATGCTACAGAACCCCATTGAATCCAAATCATGAGCATGTCTAGGGGCAAACGCTCGATTTTCTTGGTGCAAAGGCTCGAGGGAATTCTGCGTTTGTCTGTCCTTATGCTGGATGAATCTCTTGAAACCTGTAAGGAACATATCTGGCTTGTTTTTTTGCCCCATAATAAAAAAATGTATTAATTAATTAATTAATAATAAATAAAAAAACAAATATATTTAGCATAAATAACAAAAAAAAAATTATGGCTCATTTTGTTTCATGATTTTGTTTTTGATTGATTGCGAAAATATGTGAGAAAATTATTATAACATTAATAAAGAAATTGTTATTAATTAATTTATTACAAATCTAAAACTTTTGAACTTGCTTCTATTCAGCAAGGTTGTATTAAATTGTGTCAGATTTCTTTTTATAGTATTTGTCCTGTTTAATTTAGTTTTTTGTGCTGTTCATTCTGATTGAGTTATTTTATTGATTTTTTTTACTGTAATAAAGTAAAAAAAAAGGTCATTGACATTATAATAATGAAAATCTGAGGGCGGAAACGTGTTTAATTATCATGGAAATAATCGTATAATGCAAATTCATTTTCATTTATGCAAAATCTAATTCTTTTTCTTTTGATTTTGGCCTGAAAAGTCACAGTAACCTTGAGGACGTTCAGTCTTCACAGTTCTTGAGTCAGTTCTCTTCACATGGCGACGGGTCACGATTACATCACACTTCTTTACACACACAGTCCTAGCATTCACACACTCAGCCGGAAGAGCGTTTCAAGACGAAGCTGAACTTAAACTGGAAGTGGAACTGAATAGTCTGTAATAATATGCCTTATAATTTCTCCTAGACTACAAATGTAGACTTGCTGAGGTCTCCTGGTTCTCAGAACTCAGATATCTTAACAATTGTATGTTAAGAATTGCCTCATTTGTTTCTTTTTTTTCCTTTCTCCTTAAGAATTTTCGGAGTATTGTCTGAGAAAAAGAAAGAAAAACTCATGCCATAATGGCCTAGTGTTCTCGCTGTCCTCTTGCAGAACATTGTCTTATGATCACACCCCACGTCTCGTTACCTCGTTCCCGTTACCTTCTACGAGCGTGGCATATTAATGAGTGTGAATGGCTCTCAAGGACACGAGAAACACGTCTTTAAGTCACCGGTGGAGTTTGATAGCGCACTGTGAAACACCTTCACATGTATCTCAGATAGCCATTTAACAATGCATGTTCGCAATGAACAATGAAATGATTCACTTTCCCAATGTGAATCCCAAAATTCACAACACATTCCTGAAAATACCAGACAGTGTCTACTCTCTGCTATAGAGATCTAAAATCAACAGGCTATCACATTTGCAATCATGCTGATGTTCGGGAAAACAGCACTCTATATCATGTTAGAAATATTAAAAACATCATACAGTTCAAGAACTCATAGATATCTTGATTTTTTTGAGTTCTTGAACTGTACGGGCGCATGCGGATGGAGGCCTTGTTTGAAGCGAGGCCTGTTTCAAGTGAAACGGGTCAAATATAGCAAAGGCCGCTACTGGTGATGGGGAAATATGGATATCAACAAAGATTAATATCATCCAAGGCAGTGAAAATTCCTTATTGTTGAACCCTATTTAATAAATAGCCAATGTATTTTTGATTTTAGAAACTCAGCAAATCTACACATCCGATACTTTATCGATGCATTCCCTTTTCTGTCCAGTTATATTTTTGTCTTCGGCATTTTTTCTAAATATTTATGATGACAAAAGGGTGACCAAATTGCATTGGACAATTTATTAACCCTCTGGGGTCCTTCATTTCAGAGTCACACTCAGGACCTTCGGGTCCAAATGGGCCGGAAGGGTGGGATTAATATTTATTAAAAAAGAAAAAATCATCTTTTTTTTTTTAACTTGTTTTTTATAATATTTTTTCTTTTCTTTTTTGGTGTTTTGAGATAATTTCAAAAATAAAAATAATTTATAATTAATATTAATGCAATAATTATGACCCATTTTTTCCCCATTGAATATAATAGATTTTTTTTTTTTTTTTTTTTTTAAGCTGTATTTCATTTTAGAGTCAAGCCTAGGCCTCATGAAAGCAATTTTTGAAATGAGATGGATGCCATCTGGTGGACAAACTGAGCATTTTAAAAATTCAAAACCCATATGTAATCTGAATTTATTAGTGTGTATGTGTATAAAAGTGTGTTTGTGTGTGTGTGTGGATGTGTCTGTTTTGCACTCTTGATGTTTTATAGATTCACCCCTTCACTGTTGTGTGCTTTTTTTCTGGATCGTGGCTGATTTGTAGATTGTACGCACAAAAAAACTCTGTATTTTCACATTTTTGCCAATTTCCCATTCATTTCCTATGCGGGTCCATTTGGACCCGAAGGTCCTGAGTGTGACTATTTTTTTTACAACCACTTCTTAGACTATTCAAATCCTGTCCCCAATTTTTTTGGGTGTTCATATACCAAGTACCAACAAAGTCACCAAATTTCGGACCATTCCAATAAAGCTATGATTTAAAAAAAAAAATATTTAAATGCTTCGGGTCCATTTGGGCCGAAGGACCCCAGAGTTAAAGAAGCAAACTGGAGGACATATTCGGCACAAATGAAAGTAGATTTTTTTTCCTTCACCTTAATATTGTCACATTAAAGGGAGAGTTATACCGTGATTTACTCCTCAAGTCTCCTTTCAGACGAACACAATCGGAGTTATATTTATATGCATTTTTTTCCGGCTTCAAAATCTCGCCCCCCATTCACTCCCATTATAAAGCTTGGAAGAGCCAGGATATGTTTAGATATATCTCAGACATGTTTTGGGTTGAACCATCCCTTTAAGTTCAAAGCGAAATTTGCACGTGAATGTTTTCACTCAAATCTATTTGCATAAAAACTCCACTGAGTGAGTCCCCATATTCAACAAACTTGGCCATTAACGTTTTTAAATAGTATATGTGCATTTTCTTTGTGAATTATATTTCTTAAATGAAAATCGTTTTCGTTGGAGGGTGTTGCATGCAAGCAAATGCATGCGTCTGAGTGTGTAACATTAGCATGTAAAATACATATCATATATGAAACGGATGATTGAGAAATGTTATGACCCCCTCAAGCATTGATATGCAAATAATAATTGGATATCACGGCACCTCTCATCTCTACACACAGTAATTTGTCATCACATGGTGATGCATGTTGCTTCATATTAAAAGTGAACGGTGATCTGTGTGTGTCTAGATTACACCTGGACTCACTGCAGTGTTAAGCGTGTGCAGCCAGACTTTGGTGCTCTTGATGTGGATTTGCGGTCTCGTGGCCTTCGCTTGCACGTCCGTGAAGGTCGCGGGACTGTAGGGTGTCCCATTCGTCATTTTCCAGAAGGCTCATGTTCTCCCTCAGTGGCCCGTTTGCCAAGCCTGCAACACTGGACTTCACAGCGGACTAATTCCCAACCCTTTAAAAGCTGGTGCTTTATGCAGCATATACTGGCTAAGAATCGCACACTAGTTGTGAAAGAGACTCTTTGAATGATGTGTAAAGCAGCCAACTGTGTTTGTCCTGTTTGCCTTAGGGACAGGTCAATGTGAAATCTTCAAATCTTTCATTTTGATTTAGTGGACCTCACAAATTTGAACGAATCCAGCCAGTCATGAATAAAATTATATTGACATTTAAAATTGACTGTCTTAGTTTAAAATAACTTTGATAATATATATATATATATATATATATATATATATATATATATATATATATATATATATATATTATGTGCAACGATTAATCACATCCAAAATAAAAGTTTTTGTTTACATAATATATATGTGTGTGTGTGTGTGTGTGTGTGTGTGTTGTGTATAATTATTATGTAGCCTATATATAAATGCACACATATGCATGTATATATTTAAGAAAAATGTGTTATTTATAAATAAAATATGTATATTTAATTTATATATAGTATATACATGCAAATATTTCTTAAATATATACATGTATTTGTACTGTATTTATATATACAAAATAATTATACAGTACACACACATATATTATGTAAACACAAACTTTAATTTTGGATGCGATTTGCCCAGCACTATTTTAAATATTTAATCAGACTAAATTAATGTTATAATTTGGCAGCCCTAATAAAAAATAAATAAAAATACGTAATTGATTTTATGTTGTTGAATATCCCAGATTAAGGATTTTTTTTCTAATGGCACCATACATGGCAAATACTCTTAATTTTAATATTATTTTCGAATTTACTTGAATCATGAATGTGATTTGAGTGATTAATTCGGACTCATCATGTTCTGTTGTTGTTTCATGAATTACTGCTGTTTTCCTGATGTGCATCTAACAGTCTGGATGTGTGCTTCTCTTACAGTTAGAGCTGATCCAGAAGCACACGTGGTACATGTAAGTACACAAACTCCCATGATTTGTTTCTTTAGGGCTGGAAACTATACTTGTGACACACAGAAACAGAATGACTAGAAACGGGATGGGCATCAGGGACGGCACGATAGATGGGGATCAAATGTGAGCGAGTGTTACTCTGTGTGTGTGTGTGTGTGTGTGTATGTGTGATAAATGGCACAGACCCCACATGTCAGCGGCAAGGACAAATGTCCCGAGCCCCGGCAGGGATTTGCTGTCCGCTCCGTCGTCTGGCTTCCTCAGGAGAGAGAGAGAGAGAGAGAGAGAGAGAGAGAGAGAGAGAGAGAGAGAGAGAGAGAGAGAGAGAGAGAGAGAGAGAGAGAGAGAGAGATGCTCGTATCGTGACCTCCTGTCTGACTGCCTCTCTGGGGTCACACACATGGCACACACACTTCCAGCTCAGCGCCTGCGTTTTTAAGCAGAATACGTGTGTTTTTTAGCTGCTCTCATACACACCAGCATCTTTTCTACCAGATGGCAACAGCTATAGAATAGGTCTGAGATAAGGTTATGGAGACGCTTGTCATGGATTTAGGGTCATAACAAGCTGTAGTTGTTAAGATGTGAATGTAACACATGCTGGTGTTGACTTATTAATTGTGCTCTGACACTTTTCTGAACCCAGCGACAGATGAAATAGAGTATGCATTTCTGTTCACATTCTTATGTAGATTATGTTTTGGGATTTATTGTGTACAATTAATTAGTGCTTGTTATTTCAGTGACAAAAATATGTTTTTTCTTCATAATCTTACATTAAAAAGCCCCTGAGGCTTAATATTAATAGTTATTAATATTAAGTAATTATGTGTGTATGCGTGTGACTGTGTTTGTGTGTGTGTGTGTGTGTAAGCCTCAGATATATAATTTTAGTTGGTGGAGAGGATTAATGTGTGGGGTTAATATATATATATATATATATATATATATATATATATATATATATATATATATATATATATATATATATATATATATATATATATATATATATATTAGTATATTAAGTATATTTTGCTATTGTTTTGGGAAATATTAAAATAAATAAATAATATTTAATTAATTTAATCTCACAATATATTTTTTATATATTAATATTATATATTATGTTCATATTAATATTATTAAATAACCAAATAGATATATTTTTTGCTATTTATTTACAATTAATTTAATAAATGTATATATATATTCTGCCATGGAATGCCTACTTTTTACAACCTTATCAATTCCCAATAGATACAATTTGTTTAAAAGTAAAAAAAAAAAAGTCTATAAATCAAGTTTTCCATGACAAAATTGTTTTAATTCAACCTTAGAAAAGCATATTTAATTGGTCCTGAACAAAAATGAAGACAGAAGGGACGAAAGTAGGTTATTACATTTGTAATAAGGTCACGCCAAATTTTGGCAATCCATGTCCATGTATTTTCTCCACTGGAAATGATTTGTAAAGGTTCATTTTTAATATTTGTTGTCTGAATGATTGTCACCCACTACAACAGTTCTGTCTCTCTTTTTCATTTACATTAAATAAAAGAAATTGTCCAAAAATGACAATCGCCTTGAAAAAAAAAGTTAATCACCCATCCTGTTGTTCCAAACCCGTATGACCGACTTTCTTCTGTGGAACACAACAGAAGAAGTCTAGCAGAATGTTCATGCAGTCCTTTTCCACACAATACATGTATACTGTAACCAGCAGCTCACACATATCCAGAACTTGTGTTTGAAGTGTTTGTCTCTCTGAGCTGCGGATAGTCTCAGTGTGAGAGTGTGTGATATCACTGATGGGCTTGTGTTCTCCTCAGAGGAGGGAAGAACGAACCCGAGCCGGAGCAGCCGGTCCCGCGTAAGGTGGCGATCCGCTGTATCCCTTCAGCCGAAGACATCGATCCCGACGTCCTGGAGAGCATGCACTCACTGGGGTGCTTCCGGGACAAGAGCAAGCTGATGAAGGACCTGCTATCTGACGAGTGAGTGACTGCACACTGATCTAGGGTCAGATCTCACCTCTGGAGGAAAGAAAAACCCAATGGCCCTCATATAAAAAAAAAAAAAAAGGGATCATATTATAGACACATAAGCTTTTATAATCTTGTTGTCCACAGAAAAATTGATAAACATCTTGTTGTTTAGAATTAAAAAGGTCATATTATGTAAAACTAGAGGACCCAACCTTTATTATTCAATTAGGACTAATCTTTTTTTATTATTTCTTTATATAATTTCTTTTACCTTTTCCTGATATTATTAGTTTTATCATTATATGTTATGGATGTATAAAGACAGTTTGTTCAATCTAGAAGGTAGAAAATGATAATTTAGCCATTTCATTTTCTAATGTGCTTATTTACATATTTGACACATGGCTGTTTCCCGTCTTCTGTTTTATCAGTGAAAATCAGGAGAAGATGATCTATTTCCTTCTGTTGGACCGTAAGGAGAGATACCCCAGCCAAGAAGACCAGAACCTTCCTCCTCGCAATGATATCGGTAAGAAATGAGCATTCAGATCTCACCAAGCACTCAGATCAGACCAAAACAGAGCTAATAAATTCAGACAAGTACACTTTAAAGTTAAGATGAAATATATATAATAATATACACTCACCTAAAGGATTATTAGGAACACCTGTTCAATTTCTCATTAATGCAATTATCTAATCAACCAATCACATGGCAGTTGCTTCAATGCATTTAGGGGTGTGGTCCTGGTCAAGACAATCTCCTGAACTCCAAACTGAATGTCAGAATGGGAAAGAAAGGCGATTTAAGCAATTTTGAGCGTGGCATGGTTGTTGGTGCCAGACGGGCCGGTCTGAGTATTTCACAATCTGCTCAGTTACTGGGATTTTCACGCACAACCATCTCTAGGGTTTACAAAGAATGGTGTGAAAAGGGAAAAACATCCAGTATGCGGCAGTCCTGTGGGCGAAAATGCCTTGTTGATGCTAGAGGTCAGAGGAGAATGGGCCGACTGATTCAAGCTGATAGAAGAGCAACTTTGACTGAAATAACCACTCGTTACAACCGAGGTATGCAGCAAAGCATTTGTGAAGCCACAGCACGCACAACCTTGAGGCGGATGGGCTACAACAGCAGAAGACCCCACCGGGTACCACTCATCTCCACTACAAATAGGAAAAAGAGGCTACAATTTGCAAGAGCTCACCAAAATTGGACAGTTGAAGACTGGAAAAATGTTGTCTGGTCTGATGAGTCTCGATTTCTGTTGAGACATTCAGATGGTAGAGTCAGAATTTGGCGTAAACAGAATGAGAACATGGATCCATCATGCCTTGTTACCACTGTGCAGGCTGGTGGTGGTGGTGTAATGGTGTGGGGGATGTTTTCTTAGCACACTTTAGGCCCCTTAGTGCCAATTGGGCATCGTTTAAATGCCACGGCCTACCTGAGCATTTTTTCTGACCATGTCCATCCCTTAATGGCCACCATGTACCCATCCTCTGATGGCTACTTCCAGCAGGATAATGCACCATGTCACAAAGCTCGAATCATTTCAAATTGGTTTCTTGAACATGACAATGAGTGCACTGTACTAAAATGGCCCCCACAGTCACCAGATCTCAACCCAATAGAGCATCTTTGGGATGTGGTGGAACGGGAGCTTCGTGCCCTGGATGTGCATCCCACAAATCTCCATCAACTGCAAGATGCTATCCTATCAATTTGGGCCAACATTTCTAAAGAATGCTTTCAGCACCTTGTTGAATCAATGCCATGTAGAATTAAGGCAGTTCTGAAGGCGAAACGGGGTCAAACACAGTATTAGTATGGTGTTCCTAATAATCCTTTAGGTGAGTGTGTATATATATACAGGGTTTGAAATGAACACCTGCCAAATGCGGGTAAAAATCAACTGGCGGGTAACGCTGTCAAATCACTGGCCAATTTGGCGTGTTACTTATTAAAGAAGCTTACGGAAGCGCAGAGGATAGAGCAAAACAAAACACCGCTCACGAATTAGAAGTCTAAAATGACAATTTTTAAACCGAAATGTGGGAGGAGCGTGAGTTTGTTGCCCAGCGCTGTTTGTCTGAACCGCAAGAGGCGTCAGAGTTTACGCTACTCCTACATCATACTTCACACATCGTCAAGTGTTTTTCTTTTGGCGTACATCGACTTGCGTAGGCCGTCTGCCAGAAGCTAGTTATTTTAGTCGATAAAGTTTTAAATATGGATATTTTTCTTACACGAACGCATCGCTTCGCTTCAGAAGACCTTTATTAACCCGCCAGGGCTGTTTCGAAGATTTTTATAATGGATGGATGCGCTTTTATGGACTTCCAAAAAAAAAAAAAAAACGTTCACTCCCATTATAAAGCTAGGAAGAGCCAGGACATTTTCTAATATAACTCCGATTGTATTCGTTTGAAAGAAGAATGTCATATATACACCTAGCATGGCTTCAGGGTGAGTAAATCATGGGCTAATTTTCATTTTTGGGTGAACTATCCCTTTAACAAATGCATTAATTGTAAATTGGGCATGATTACACAATCACAAGCGCTGCTGAGAGCGGCTTTACAGACCAAAAAGTTAACACTGCCTTGTGTGTGTGTGTGTGTGTGTGTGTGTGCAGATCCACCACGGAAGCGCGTAGACTCACCCATGCTGAACAGACACGGGAAGCGGAGGCCGGAGAGGAAGTCGATGGAGGTGTTGAGCGTTACTGATGGAGGTTCACCTGTACCGGCACGGAGAGCCATCGACATGACACAGCACGGACAGAGGTGCAGGAAACACACACACACACACACACTTCTATTATACTTTACATCCATCCTTCTCTAGAGATGCTACTTTACGTGCTGACTTCCATTGTACGTAAAACATTTGTTTTTGTTCAAAAACTAAGGGATATGATTCGAAATAATGCTTTTGTTAACAACATAATGTAACAGAAAACGAATCGGTTACCTAACGTAACCTCGGTTCTCTCTAGAAGAGGGAACGAGTATTGCGTAAGCTAGCTTACGCTGCGGGAAAGATTCATCTTTGCTGAGATATTGAAGCCAAAAAATTATTTCATAATTTGTATCCATACACAACGCAGTTCCTCTGCGGCAGACCTAGAGCAGGCTAGCTAGCAGCTCATTGGTTCGCTCAGAGAGAACTGCTTAAGCCTATGGGAGAGCGGGGCTGAACCCGCTTCCAATGAGAGGCGCCCGCGCGCTCATTGCGTCATAGCCCGCCAGAATGGGCGTGGCTATGGTGTATATAACAGTCTCTCCCAGGCTTATATGTTGATTTATTTCAGCGTGAAGCGAAACGCTAGTAGCGCAAGCACGGCCGGGAACGCAATACTCGTTCCCTCTTCTAGAGAGAACCGAGGTTACGTTAGGTAACCGATTCGTTCTCTTACGAGAGGTTCTCTCGTATTGCGTAAGCTAGCTTACGCTGCGGGAACACCTGGTCAACGCCGTGCGCGCTATGAATCCACTCATGAATCCCAGGGTGATACCGGGGGATTTTTAACGTGGAGTGAATGTAATATGAGGCCGGCAGAGCGGGCACATGAAGTGTATACATAAGCATGTATGAGGCCGGCAGAGCGGGCACATGAAGTGTATAAGCATTTAAGGAGAGCACAAGGGGAGAACCGGTTGTGTGAGGGACTCCCAGTAATGCAGCTTCTTAGGGAGCTGGTCGTTAGACAGCTAGTAATTTTGCCTGCAAGGCGGGAACTTCCAAGTTGTAAAATCTGACAAAAGTGGACGGGGAGGTCCATCCCGCGGCCACACAAATGTCATGAATGGAAATTCCACAGGACCATGCCCACGATGAGGCCATGCCTCTAGTGGAGTGCGCCCTGATGCCCAGAGGGCAGGGCAGGCATTTAGATGCGTAAGCAGAGGCGATAGCGTCTACTATCCATCTAGACAGTGTCTGTTTAGAGGCGGCCAGACCTTTGGTGCGCCCCCCAAACGACACGAAAAGCTGCTCAGCGCGTCTGAACGCGGCAGCGCGCGTAGTGTACAATCTCAGAGCCCGCACCGGGCAGAGGAGATTGGCGTCGCGCTCACTATCGGATGAAGGCAGAGCCGATAGGGAAATAATCTGAGCCCTGAACGGGGTACCAATCGCCTTCGGGATATAGCCATGTCTAGGTTTGAGAATGACAACAGAGTCATTCGGTCCAAACTCGAGACACGCGGCGCTGGATGAGAGCGCGTGAAGATCCCCCACGCGTTTTACTGAGGACAGAGCCGTCAGAAAAACGGTTTTGAGCGAGAGGTATTTTAGGTCCACAGACTCGAGCGGTTCGAACGGGGGTGCTTTCATAGCTTCGAGAACTATAGAAAGATCCCAGATAGGAACCGAGGGGGGGGCGCGGAGGGTTCATCCTCTTAGCTCCCCTGAGGAAGCGGATGACTAACTCGTCTTTGCCCAGGGACTGAGCGCGTCGGGGTTCAGAGAACGCCGCGACGGCTGCCACGTAAACCTTGAGAGTGGAGGGGGACCTGCCCTTGTCCAGCATCTCTTGAAGGAAAACAAGCAAAGACGGCACCTCGCATGACCGTGGGTCCAGATGTTTGTCGGTGCACCATTTTGAGAACACAGACCATTTAGACGCATAGAGCCTTCTTGTGGAAGGTGCTCTAGCCTGTATGATAGTGTTTCTTACTCCTTCTGGCAAATCGACGAATAGTCGTTGATCACCCATGCATGTAGCGCCCAGCGCCATGGATGGGGGTGCCAGATCGTGCCGCGAGCTTGAGAGAGGAGATCTGCTTTGACTGGGATGGGCCACGGGGCTGTCTGTGACAGCTGAGTGAGCTCCGGAACCCAATTCTGACTCTCCCAACGCGGGGCTATGAGGAGCACCGAGTGGCGTGTGTCCCTGATCCTCTGAATTACCTGTGGTAGCAGAGCGATCGGAGGGAATGCATAGAGCGGGCGGCGAGGCCATTCCTGGGCTAGCGCGTCCTCGCTCCTTGAGAAAAATATTGGGCAGTGAGCGTTCTCTTCTGACGCGAAGAGGTCCACCTCTGCTCTGCCGAATAGCCGCCACAGTATTTGGACCGTTTGTGTGTTCAGGGACCATTCTCCTGAGGAGATGAGGTTCCTGGACAGTATGTCTGGACCGTCGTTCAGATGGCCCGGCACATGCGTCGCTCTGAGCGAGAGCAGGCGGCTCTGAGACCAAACTAAAATGCGGTGTGTCAGTAGGAAGAGATTCCTGGACCTGACACCGCCCTGACGGTTGAGATAGGAGACCACAGCCATGTTGTCCGAACGGATCAGGACGTGGTGTCCCCGAATGAGCGGGAGGAAGCGCGAAAGCGCGTTCTTGACCGCAAGCATTTCCAGACAGTTTATGTGTAAGGGGCTTTCCCGTGTCGACCAATGGCCGAAGGCCGGTGAGCCCTCGCAGACTGCACCCCAACCCGTGTTGGATGCATCTGTCGAGATGACTTTTCGGCGGGAAAAGGTCCCCATCGTGACGCCCTGTCGAAACCATTCTGCTACTGTCCATGGCTGCAGCGCCGTGAGACATGTCTGCGTAACTCTGATCAGCTGGCGGCCCGTGTTCCACGCGCGGTGGGGTACACGGCTGTTTAACCAAAGCTGAAGCGGACGCATGTGCAGAAGGCCCAGCTGAAGCACAGCGGAGGCTGAGGCCATGTAACCCAGCATCCTCTGAAAATTTTTCAGAGGTGAGCGGGTGCCCATCTGAAACGAGGCGGCCAGTCGCTGTACACTGCGCGCGCGCTGTGTAGACAGGCGAGCCGTCATCGTGACCGAGTTCAAATCTATTCCTAGAAAGGAAATCGATTGACTGGGTTGAAGGGAGCTCTTTGTCCAGTTGACAGAGAGGCCCAGCGTTTTCAGATGGTCGAGGAGAACTGCGCGGTGCGACAGAAGCTCCGTCTGTGATTGGGCCAAAATCAGCCAGTCGTCCAGATAATTCAATATGCGCAGCCCCTGGCTCCGCAGGGGGGCGAGCGCCGTATCCATGCACTTCGTAAATGTGCGGGGCGCCAGGGATAAGCCGAACGGGAGAACGGCGTATTGATAAACATGACCCTCGAAGGCGAAACGTAAGAATGGCCTGTGACGGGGATTTATCTGGATCTGAAAATAGGCGTCTTTCAGGTCTAGAGAGATGAACCAGTCCCCCTGGCGCACCTGCGCGAGGAGTTTCCTGGTAGTGAGCATCTTGAACGGTCTCTTCATGAGCACTTTGTTCAAAGACCTGAGATCTAAAATCGGTCTGAGGCCGCCGTCTTTCTTGGGAACCAGAAAATAACGGCCGTAAAACCCCGACTCGGTCATAGATGGTGGGACTCTCTCTATGGCGCCCTTTTGCAACAGCGTCGCAATTTCTGAGCGGAGCGTGCCGGCGGCCAGCGGGCTGACAGTAGATTCGAGCCGCGCGCGCGCACGAGGCGGGCGGCGGCGAAACTGTAGCAGATAGCCGTTCTTTATAATGCTTAGTACCCACGGGGAAATGCCTGGAATGGCTTCCCACGCTTTGGAGCATGCGGCTAGTGGCCGAATGGCTATATCGCCCTGATTGCTGCACATAGCGGGCTGGACACAGTGTGTGGGCGTGCTTTGAATGTGTGTGGCAACGGGATTTGCACTCAGAGAGGAGTCTATGGGCCGTGAAACAGAGCGAGCAGAGAGGGGACACGCGCACGAGCTCGTGGGCGTGTTTATGTTCTCTGACATTAGAGCGGGCTGTGCCCGTTTCATGTGATGGGGCTCTGATAGAGACACGGGATATGTTATGCTTGTGTGTATGGGTGAGCACATGATTGTGGGCACATTTTCTACACAACTGGCAAATTTTCTCTTTTTGAGATTTCTCTGGGTAGCCGTAAAAACGGCTTTTTGTCGCTCGCAAGCGGACTGGGACACCGGCTTGTTTGTGGCGGTCAACACTACAGCAGTCGGCGAAATAACGGGGACTGGCAGAGGGCGAAGCTTTGACGGCGGTCCGGCCGCAGCGGGAGAGCACCGTCGTTTTCTTGACTTTGCTAGGCAGACTTCTGATGATCAGGCTTCAGCGTGATCTTAGGTCGCGGGCCTCGAGGGGGCGGCGGTCTGCGGCGGCTGTCAGAGCGAGAGCGAGGGCGGCCGCCCTGTCTGCGCTGGGCTGTTTGAGTCTGCGGAGGGGGGCGCTGTGGTGGAGCTCTGGCAGGAGGCTCGCGAGAGCGGCCCGCGGAAGAGCTAGCGCGGCGGGGCAGAAACAAATTCATCGCCTGAGTAGCTTTCTGGACCTCAGAAAAGCGATCGACGATTCCCGTGACAGCAGATCCAAAAAGGCCCGTCGGGGAGAGGGGCGCGTTAAGAAACGCGGCGCGCTCAGAATCTCCCATGTCGGCGAGCGTGAGCCATAAGTGTCTCTCGGCAACACAAAGGCTGGCCATGCATCTCCCCAGAGCTTGTGCGGCGGATTTAGTGGCGCGAAGGGCGAGGTCCGTAGCACTTCTCAGATCCGTGACAGCGGGGGAGGGGTTTCTACCGCTTTCGGCCCACTCACGGAGAATATCGCTCTGTAATACTTGGAGGACAGACATAGAATGCAGCGCTGCGGCGGCCTGACCGGCGGCGGCGTAGGCGCGAGCATGAAAGCTCGAGGTCGCTCTGCAAGCTTTCGAAGGAAGCGTGGGGGAAGAGCGACATCTAGCAGAGGGCGGGCAGAGGTGTGCGGCGACCAAGTCCTCGACGGGCGGCATGGCTGAGTAACCTTTTTCGGCGGCTCCGTCCACCGAGCGCAGCGAGGCGGATATATCGGAGCGGTTTCTAGCCGAGAGTGGGGTATTCCAGGACTTCGTCAGCTCTGTGTGAAGTTCAGGCAGGAATGGGGCGGCCCGGTTACACGCGGGGGTCGAGCGCCGATGAAAAAAGCTGCCGTCCATCCGGTTCGGGGCCTGCTCGGGTGGAGGAGACCACTCGAGACCGAGGCGTTCGACGGCCTGTGAGAGGAGGCGCATTAGTTCCTCCTCTATCCCAGCGCGGATCCCCGCCGACTCTCTCGTGGATCCGAGAGATGACCAATCTTCACTGTCTGATGCGAGCAGTGAACATGAGTCCTTCTCCTCCGCGGCGTCATCGGAAGCGACAGAGCGGCCACTCGGCGGCAACTGTATGTCCGGCAGGGGCGGGGAGGGAGAGCGGGAAGCGGGAAGCGGCGGCGGCGGCCCGCATGGTTCCGCTGGGGGCTCCGGCGGCCTCTGGGAGCGGCGTTTCTTCTTACGCGACGAAGAGGAAGGCGGCGCGGGAGCGGATTTTGCTGCCAGAAGTCGTGCCCGCAGGGACGACAACGGCAGGCTCTCACAGAAGTCGCATCCTCCATCCGCGAGGGCGAGTTCTGCGTGCTCGAGTCCCAGGCAGAGAGCGCAGATGACATGGCGGTCTCCGTCCTCGAGACGAGCGCGGCAAGAGCCGCAGGAAAAACGAGACATCTTTAAAAAGACGCTCGGCTCTTTTAGATATAAATAGAGAAAAGAGAAGGATACAGTCGTCGGATGGCGCTAGCTTGCAGGGCGGCTGAAGGTGGCGAAGACGGCCGGCTTCTTCAGGGTCCGGGAGCTCGCTAGAGTGATGCCTTCTCGACGGCGACGGCTTTTCTCAGGACAGCAGAAGCGTGCAGCTTGCTGAAGATGAAATGAATCAACATATAAGCCTGGGAGAGACTGTTATATACACCATAGCCACGCCCATTCTGGGGGGCTATGACGCAATGAGCACGCGGGCGCCTCTCATTGGAAGCGGGTTCAGCCCCGCTCTCCCATAGGCTTAAGCAGTTCTCTCTGAGCGAACCAATGAGCTGCTAGCTAGCCTGCTCTAGGTCTGCCGCAGAGGAACTGCGTTGTGTATGGATACAAATTATGAAATAATTTTTTGGCTTCAATATCTCAGCAAAGATGAATCTTTCCCGCAGCGTAAGCTAGCTTACGCAATACGAGAGAACCTCTCGTAAGAGAACATGAATGTACATAACTGATAAGAAAAAAACTAAGAAGAAACAGTTATTTCAGTGAAAAAAACATCAATTGTAAGGCGTCACACTGAGAATTCTGGGAAAGTCAATTTACGTTTTTTTTCACTGTAAATTGCAAGATGCTCTTTTTCATTTTCCAAAACTGTAAATTGAACAGTCCCGTTAGATCCCACCGTTTAAGGGATAGTTCTCCCTAAAAGGAAAACTAAGACTCTGCCTGGTGTTGTTCTAATGCCGTATGCCCTTCTTTCTTTTTCGGACGGCAACATCTTTATAAGCAAGTCTATTTATATAGCACATAAAAAATTCACATTCAATTCAAAATGCTATAAAAAGGATATAAAAAAAGAACCATAAAATAATTAGAACAAGTGTATAACCAATAATAATGACACTAAAACCAAAGAACAAGACATTGATTAGAAATTGTAAATGTATTTACATTTGTACAAATGTATTTAAAATGTATTAAAAGAGTAATAAAAAGAACAAAAACAGGACACGTAGATAAGAGTGCAGTCAGCTGGATGTGGCACAGTGCTCATTCAGTAAATAGACAGCTAAACAGTGTTTTGTGTTTTGAATCTGGATTTGGGTCCGGATTAAAAAATATCCCGCTCGTGCTCGTCCATATAACGGCAGTGATAGAGAGCATATACATATGAGACCAGCATACGGCATACCGCATCAGAACAACACCAGGGCGAGTAAATTATGACTAAGTTTTAATTTTAGGGCGAATTAACAGTTTTTTTACAGTAGCATTAGGTAAAAGTCACAGACTTTTGCCGTTAAAATGACAAAAAAATTGTTTTTACAGTGTCAGTAGAGCTTTAAGTGAACCAGAACATTCATTTAAATACATATTTTCAAAATATAAATGTATATATAAAAAGCCTGTGCTGTACCATTTGATGTCTTAACTAGAGTCTGTGAGCAAGACTACAGCTTTATTTCTACCTATCCTAAATTTTACGAATAATTCAGAGTTTGCTGCTTCGGGGTTTCTTGTGTCTTACTCAATACTCAAAACAAAATATCAAAATAGAGAGAATCTTTTTTTTGTGTGTGTGTGGTTTTGTTGCACATTTGATGACGCACCGAGTGCAGGCCAGTGAGATTCTCAACTAATTCCCACTTCAGGAATTTTTCATGACCCCTCTGGCTATTTGTCATTGCGTTCGGTTTGAGAAACGCCGCTGTGAGGCAAATACTGTCAGAGGTTTGAGAAACGATTCCCGTCATTCACATTTCACTCCTTTTTTCTCGACTCTACCTTTTTAAACTCCATTTTTCCTGTGACGCTTCAAATTTTAGGCTTGGAAAATCATTCCAAAAAGCTATCTGAAGTAAAACCGAATGAGAAAAATAACTTTCCGTAACCAACGCCATTGAAAAAGCGAATACCTTCCCTGTCTTTTATTCTTCATAGCCGGTTAGTTCAGTTCTTTGTTGTTTTGTTCAGAGACTCACTGTTGCTCACTTTGTCTCCCGCTGCAGTAAGAACGTGTTCAGTAAAAGCTTGGATATCTCGGATGGCAAACGCAAACCCCAGAGCAAAGAGGAAAGGTACCAGCTGACCCTCTGACCTTCAGATAGTTCACAGAGCTTTAGTCATCAAAGATGCAGAGATGTTTTTCATGCTTTCCCACAAGAGCCTTTTACTGACCCTGCGCTGCATTAGAGCCTCCCGGCTTCTGTCTTCAATGATAATATGCTCAAAGAATGATTGTGTAAAAACGATTTCGACATTGGTTAGTGTTATGATCTGCGAGTTTGGAGTTTGAACAAAAAAACTTTTGAAAGACAATTAGCATACTTCTACTAAATATATAAAAAAGAGTGTAATGTGTTGTGATGGTAAAGTTTTTTTATTTTATTTTTTTGCGTGAAGTGAGGCAATTCTTCTGTATTAGGACAAACCGTGTTGCTATAAACGTAAGGATAAAAATTTTCACTTTAAGTATAAACAACTGAAAAAAGTGGAGAAAAAAATTCCAAAAACATTCTGAGCTTTAATATATCATATAGTGTTGCAAGTTTATTTTAAGAATTTTTTGATATTTTAACTGTAAAACAATACAAAATCAGATAATTGTTTTGCAGTGCACCTCTACACTATTATCAGATGTTATACTATAGGAAACAGGTTTTATGATCTTACACAGTGTTATTTTAGTATTGCTTATATACTATTATAGTATGTATTAATATTTTGAATTAGCTCTCATTTTTATTTTACACATTTTGTTATGTGCTTTTGTCAATGTTTGTAAAACATTGTCAAATTTATTTTTAGTTCTTTTATTAATTTATTTAACTTGTTTTAATTTATTCAATTTAAGTTTTTCAACTACTATCTATATTTTATTTGAATTTAGCTTTATTTCAGTTTCTAAAACACACACACACACACACACACACCCACACACATATATATGTGTGTGTGTGTGTGTGTGTGTTTTAGAAACTGAGATAATGTGTGTGTTTTGAAAACTGAAATAAAGCTGAATTCAAATAAAATAACTTTTTATTATTTGTAGCATGTTAAAGGCTAGCACCTGCTTAGCATTTCCCTTATAAATGAATTTAAATCCATTTAAATAGTAAATGGGGCAGAATACATTTTTATTTATGACATACAGTATGCAGATTGAAACTCCGTCAAGGTCCTTCCGGGAATTCTCACAGACTTCTCACAGTTTCACAGAATGCATATCATGAAATGAAGTCGCTTACAGTCTATATGTATATATATAGTTCATATATATATATAAACGTTCGGTATATCCAATGTCGTGCCATCTATCTTGAACCATCATCCCGCAGCCAGACCAAAAATGAACTCCACCTCTATTTATTTTAGCCTCCGCTATCTTTTTCTTCACTACCATTATTCCCCGTAAACTTTGAACCCTCACCTTCCACTGTATAATAACAAAGTAGGTCTCGTTCCTCCAATTCATTTCAAAACCCAATTTCATTAAACTCTTTTCATTCCCACTCAAATGGCCCGAGGGGATTGAAATGGGGAATTGACAGGAGATGACCCGAGACTGACACATGCGCCACCTGAGGATTTCACAATGATTGTGTTTCAGCCGCATACCTAAAGAAAGAAGAGACTAGCTCTGTTCTGCTGCGTACTGCATACACTTCGAATACTCCTTATTTGAATGATAAAAATGATAATAATAATGGGAAATAGTACAAACTGTGCAACAATACATTTTTTTTTTTTTTGTCAAATTACATTTGTCCCATGACCTCATTACACCCCTTTAATTCCAGTGGCATCTGGTTATAGGATGTTATCGTAAAATGAAAACTGTTATTTTGCATTTTTCAATTCTGAGTGGAAGTCGAGATAAAAATGGTGAATTCTGATTCATTCGTCAAGCTTGAGATGTTCAGGGGAAGGGGTTTTAAAATGACAACAACAAAAAAAACCTCTGCATCTTTACTTCTATTTGGACTAGACAATTGGTGTTCACACTTGGCAGATTTGGTTCGATTAAAACAAACTACAGTGCGATTGTTCTGTTAGTGTGCGCACCAAATAAGCGGACTGAGAACCCTGTAAAGGAACTCGAACCATTCGACTGAAATATGAACACAACATGGACCAAAGACATCTAAACAAATTAAAAACAGGACGTGATGTCACAAGATGCGACTCTAAAAAGGCCAGAATGTTCAAGCAAACCTGGTTCCTCTCGTCATAGTCTCGATGTTGCCCATTAAAGTTCGATAGAAGCGTCGGAAACGCCGTCTCCTTGCAACAGATCATCGTTTGTGTGTGTGACGGAGGAATTCCTGGTGTGGACTTAAAAATGACAGTGTGAACACAGAGTGAACCACGACTAAATGTGTCATTTTCTTTTTTTGCTCTGGACCAAAAGAAACACTACAAGTGTGAACACAGAGTAAATCAAGCATATATTTAAATCCAGTTTTTAGCTGTGATTATAGATGACGTTACATCTACAAAAAAAAATATATATAAAAAAAAAAAATGTAGATCCAGTTTTTAGCTGTGATTATAGATGCCGTTACATTGCATTAGTTATAGACCACTCATCTTTAGTGTAGATCTTGGGAGTCTTTTTGACATTTGAATTTTTTTTCCAACTTTCTCTATAATATGGAAACTTGATTCTGCCACGGAATAAAAAATAAAAAAGGTAATTGTGATTTTTTTTAATTTACAATTCTGACGTTTTGGAGTTTATCACTCACAATTGCAAGTTTATACCTCACAATTCTCTTTTCTGAGAAAAGAAGTCAGAATTGCGAGAAAAAAGTCAGAATTGTGAAATATAAACTTGCAATTGCGAGAAAGTCAGAGTTTATATCCCGCAATTCTGACTTTATAATTCGCAATTGCAATGTATAAAAATTTTTTCGCAATTTTCTTTTAAATTGTTTTTTTTTTCATGGCGAAACAAGCTTCCCTAGTATCATAATTTACTACCTCCTAAAAACAGTGCATTTTAAACTAGAAGTGACCTCCGAAACTGACTTTCTGTTGCATCATTTGTGTTTTTGTGCTGTTTATTGACTTTAAAAGGCATGGGATCAGTGTGAGTCAAAGAAAAAAGAGACTTTTTGAAATGTTATTTTTAAAAGCTGGATCTGTGTGATGAAGCATATGGCAAGGAGTGAGTTTTTTTAAAATGGAAAGTTCATGAGAAAGAGATGTGAGTTTTGATGTGGTTGATTTTGCAGTTAGAAATCATGTCATGTTAACAGTAGTCCGTTAATATCCTAATCTATTTGAGCAAATTGGATTAATATAAACAATATGCTTCCAAAAATGATTGACTGATTCATTTAAATAATCATTTAGTTGTGTTCCTGGAGCTCATTTTATGTCTTTTAGTGATGATTTATCTGTAAACAAAGATTTTAATGCTCTGACTGCCAGGCGATTAGTCCCCACATAATGCCCTTCACATCTAAATATAGGTTTCGCATTTTATTCGTTTCATACGCTGTTCTGCGTATACCAATGCGTCACGTGCTGGATGTCTCCACTCACCCCTTTATAACTCTAGATTAGAATAACTATCTTTAGCATCAGCAGGATTCATAGCCATCTCTTCCTCTAAACACCCACACATGAGAGAGATGCCACTCACAGGGTTTCAGCCTAGACTAGTGTTTTACATATAAACACCTATTATATCATTTGACTAAAAGGGATAGTTCACTCAAAAATAACATTTTGTTTTTGGTGATCTTTTCCTCTAAAGGGGCCATGACATGCATTTTTATTTATTATTATGTATGTCCCTTTAGGTTCACTTGTAATGCTAATAAAGAAAACAACTATTATTTTCATAGATAATATGAAAATAACCCTCTGTCTAGAATGATCCGTTTTTAAAGAGCGGCTCCTTTAAAGTAGTTCACTTCAGAATGAACATTTATTGATAATTTACTCACCCCCACGTCATCCAAGATGTTCATGTCTTTCTTTCTTCAAAGGCTCTACACAATCCCAGCCGAGGAATAAGGGTCTTATCTAGCCAAACCATCGGTCATTTTCTAAAAATAAATAAATAATAATTTATACTTTTTAACCACAAAAGCTCGTCTTGCACTAGCTCTGCGATGCACCAAACATTACGAAATCACGTTGAAAGGTCAAGCATGACGTAGGCTAAAGTAAAGATCTAGTGTTTACAAAGCGAACATGCAAAGACTAAGTCAAATGCCATTTACCAATGGGTAAAACAACGGGTTTTAGCCTATATCAGGTTCCCGCCTGACCTTTACAACGTGATTAAGTAATGCGTGAAGTCGTGCAAAGGACGTGCAAAAGACGAGCATTTGTGGTTAAAAAGTATATAAATGTTTAGATTTTTTAGAAAATGGCCGATGGTTTCTCTAGATAAGACCCTTATTCCTCGGCTGGGATCGTGTAGAGCCGTTGAAGCTGCACTGAAACTCCAAGTTGGACCCCATTGAAATCACTATATGGAGAAGAATCCTGGAATATTTTCCTCAAAAACCTCAATTTCTTTTCGACTGAAGAAAGAAAGACATGCATACCTTGGATGACGTGGGGGTGAGTGAATTATCAGGAAATTTTAATTCCGAAGTGACCTACTCCTTTAAGGCTTGTCAGTAAACGGCCACTGTTCTGATTGGCTAATGTCATTGCATAGGAAACAGTATCAGCCGACTCGCTATTGCACGCGAGTAAGTGTTTTGAAAACATTTTTAACTTCTGTTTGCTGCAATTCGCAACCTCACCACTAGATATTGCTAAAATGTACACACTGCACCTTTAAGCTATGCAAATTGCTGGATGTTTCATTTGTACAAAACATCTTATGTCAAAAGATCCAAGCAAATTTGATTTCTCATGTCATATGACCCTTTATCTTGGTTTTTCTTCAGACTCTTGCTGACACATTTGCATGTGTTGTTCTTAGTGAAGCTTCCCCTGATTTTTGGGACATAGGGGCTCAGATTAAGGCCGCTGTCCGCCTCAGTGCTTTAGGGTTGAGGACGCTGCTTTCATCCCAAACAGACCTGACATCTGACCTGGATTACAGATCCAGAGAGACAGCAGGACAGAGATCAAGATTCAGTGGCAAAAGTGATTAGAATGTGGAGAGAAAGACCAGATGAATGTTAGAGAAGTCTGAGAACACTTTGAAAATGTATTTTGTTAATTTAAACCTGAAAATAAAGGGATATTACCATTTTTAACAGTTACAGCACAGAATGACACAGCAATGCCTGAAGATAGAATTGCGTTTTATTTTATTTTATTTCAAAAAAATATATGCATAAAAAATACATTATAAGTCAAAAAACTGGATTGAATAACAATAACTAGGTGGATTTTATCTTAATGACCTGCACTATTTTCCACAATAAAAAAATATGCATTATCTGGGACAAAAATATATTTAATACACATTATATGTTCAAAAGTTTGGTGTCAAAATTGCTGTTTTCTATTTAAATATATTTTAAATAATTTATTCTTGTGATCAAAGATGAATTTTCAGCATCATTACTCCAGTCTTCAGTATCACATGATCCTTCAGGAATGTTTTAAAAAAAAAGGTATAGTAAACTGTTAGACTTATAAAGCTTAAATTGCTTAATATTTGGGAAAGAGGTAAATGTTCCCCCTTTATAATAGAGTGTGTACATCAGCACTGTTCTCACTTCCTGTCCCTCCTCAGCTGTAAGCAGCCTCTCACCGTGTGTGTCTTCTGGTGTGTGTCCACACAGGTCACGGTCCATCAGCGGGGCGTCCTCTGGTCTCTCCACCAGTCCTCTCAGCAGCCCACGGGTGAGTAAGCTCCGCCCCCAGCACACCTGCTCCTGTCTGTCCACCAATCAGCACGCAGCTGCTCAGTCACCTTCATGGCAACCATCACACACTCCGTTACACTGCACATACTACACCACTGTGAGTGGTGGTGTTGTGTTGATTTATAAAAAACGAATTTGGATTATTTTCTAGGCTGTGACATTTTAAATTTGGACTATACATATATGGCAGATGATAGTAATAAGCAAAGTGCTCTTGACACAAACTCTTTAGGATCTTAGTAGGTGAGTTTTTTGGTGACAATTTAGTGTTTTTTATTGGAAAGTTATTATTATTATTATTTTAGCCCTTATCCAGCAGTCACGAATGACTGGAAAGCTCAAGAAAATGAACTGGTGGTAAGGTGTAGGATGCCTGGAAATAGCATTCTGGCCTCTAGCAAGCAAAGTAAACAAGAAAGGGAAGAACGCAAGAGTGAGTCGTAGAAGAAAGCAGTTTTTGTTTCATGGAGATATATTCTTTCATCCTATCTGCTGGAAATCCAGCTCAGGGAAGGCTGTAGAAAATCCCACTCCTCTGATTAGGACAGAAGCTCTTGGCTAAACTTTTCCAGTTGACTTGTTTAAGACAGCTCACAGATTACAGAGGGCTTGCCCTGAAGCTCAGTAACGTATAGAACAGTTTCCAAGTGGAAATTGATTTAGAAGTTCACTCTAAACCTGTAGGTCACATGAAAAGTGAGGATTTTAAAGACGTTATTTTCATGTTTGACATAAATTAGGTTAATGTACTGCTTGTGAATTAGTTTGCTTTGATTACTTTGCTGGATTCCAACTGTGAAGAGACAAAAGTGCTTGAAATATTCAATTTCAATGTGTTTTGAGATTTGAGACATTCATATTCAGATGCTCAGGTGCTTTAAAGGTTTATGAATGATTCAGAATGTGGACGCAGTCCAGCCTTGCATTTTCTTTGACGTTAGTTTGTTAGCAGATTATTCTGAGTTCAAATTCATATTGGTCAATGACATGACTCATCTTTTGTCCTTTATATTAATTTATTTTAAAATACATTGAAATGTAATTCATAAATACAGTGACTTAAATACACCACTACTATGATGAATCTCTATGATTTTTTGGACAAAGTAAAAAATGGCAGGGTGATACAACTGTCCTGATATAATAATGAAAGAGACATTTTTGAAGTAATATATTATCTTATATTCTAAGATTACCATATAATCTAATAATATTTTAACAAATTGCTTCAGTGCCTATTAGCAGTCATATGGTGCAACCAACATGCTGAAACCTACAACAGTAAAATTATTTCATAGAAAGGTCGCCAGTAATCTCTTATATCTGTGTTTTGAAGTCACAAACACTTTTACACTGAAAAAAATATATTTTTTTAAAGTAATTATTATTATATGTACTCTCACATGTATTTGGATATATGCTATTACTTTTTGCTTAATGGCTACTCCTCATGTAATTTTTGGGGTTATTAAATTTAAACCTTTGTTGAAAATGGTATAAAAGTTTTTCGAAACCATATGAATCTAACATAATGAGTACATTTCTATAACAACTTGGCATGTTTTAAACTGGATTTTTTCCGATTTTTCCTTTTCTTTATCATGGATGTTTTTATATGTCGTCCACCCAGATAGTGCAAATTACGTTGTCCACACCTCTCATTCATGATTTCATGTTTGATGTCCAAGTTGCTCATTTCACGGAAGAAAATTTGCTGTTTAATCCCTTTTTATTTTCCCATTGGCATTGTTCTTTTGTGTGCCTGAAAAGACTCTTGATTTGCTCTTCACAATGGCCTTGTTGCATCTTTGGGTCACCAGTCTTTGCTAACTGCATGATTCTTTTGTTTCTTCTGCATCACCACGGATCCTTTTTCTCCCTAAATGATTCCTTCCCTTTTTGTGTGTTTTACCCTTGCTGCTTTGTGACTCTCGTGCCTTAATATCTCGATGTGTTCTGCTCTGGTTCTCGACTTCCCCTAAAGCCGGTCCGAAAGTTCTGTGTCCCGCCTAAGTCCACTGAGCTGCTCTTGTCCCCCAGTTCTAGTTCTAGTATCACTGATTCCCTAAAACCAAACTCCGATCAAAGCGGGGCAAAACCCCCAACGTCTAACTCCCTGAAGCCAAACTCAGAACAAAGCGGGGGAAAACCCCCAACTTCTAACTCCCTAACACCAAACTCTATTTCTGAGTTTCTCTTGCCCTACCCAAAGACCCAAACTCTTCCAGCCAAACCCAAAGACAAACCCTTACACTCCGTCCGATCAAACCCTTTACCTGAAACCGAGCCTGAACCCATTTTGACAGCCAAGTCAGAACCTTCGACTCCGTGTCAGCCTCAAGCTCCCTGTTTTCCGGGCCCCCCACTGGTGCGACGGGTGACCCCCGCCTCCATCACTCCCCCTACGCTCTCAGTCCCTTTTAGGCCTGTTGTCCCTCTTTCCCCCATCCGTCTACACCACTTTCACCCTGTGTCCGGCTCTGACCACACCACCAAATCTATCCCTACCATACAGGTGACCCCCCACCCCTCTCCAAGGGGCAGCCCTATCCCTACCCCCAAAGGAACGCCCGTGCACACGCCTAAGGACAGCCCAGCGGGAACGCCGACCCCTACGCCACCCCCCAGCCCCTCCATCGGGGGAATGCCCTGGAAGACTCGCCTCAACTCCATCAGGAACAGCTTCCTGGGCTCGCCACGCTTTCACCGCAGGAAACTGCAAGGTATCGTGAGAAATTGGTGGATGCAGTCAACAATCTACAATTCATCCATCCATCTATCCATTCTCCAAACCACTTGTCCTATGTAGGGTCACGGGTCATTATAGACCTAAAATAATGCTCTTACCTCCTCCAGATTGACTGGATTTTTTAATGCTTGTTGTGGCTAAATTGTCTCATTTACATATACTGACTGTAAAACTAATAATAAGCCTGCTTCCATGGTTACCACCTTGGTACTTTCTTTCAGTAGCATCAGTTTGCATTTCTAAACATCTTTTACTGCATGCGACCCATTAATGATCCAGTTTTATTGTTGGCATAACTTTTAAGCCCAAGCTGAATGAGCAACCTGTGATAATAATACTCATTTGCATGCAACTATAGGCTCTAATTATGTTTGTCCTACTTAGTGAGATGTTAAATTAGTTAAAGAACTATTCAAAAGTCATACGACCTTGATGACTGACAAAAACATCTTTGCTTTGTTCTGAACAGTTCCCACTCAAGAGGAAATGTCCAGCCTCACGCCAGAGTCTTCCCCAGAGTGAGTACACATCTTTTTATATCGTCATGGATTTTCCTTTGACTTCTATTGTCTTTTTGTCAAGCTATTGAATAAAAAGCTATTAATTGAATTGTTTATATATATATACACTGCCTGGCCAAAAAAAGTCACTGTTTGGATTTAAATGGGCAAATGGTTAAAAGTCTATGATTGAATCATTATTGCAGTGATTATTATGTGTCTAGCATGTTATATGTTTGGCATCAGTTCTTCTAACCCTAATTGATGGAGTGTAGCTTTTCATTTCTTGAACAATCATGTATGAAGACACATCATGGCCATATTCCAGGATGACAATGTCAAGATTAATCAGAATCAGATTGTGAAAGAATGGTTGGGAGGAGCATGAAGAATCATTTTCACACATGAATTGGCTCTTCTGAGCTCTTCCTTAAATTCATTGAAAGTCTTTGGGATGTGCTGGAGGAGACTTTACAGAGTGCTGGACTATTGGATTGTCAATGCAAGATCTTAACCATAAATTGATGCACTTCTTGATGGAAATAACATTTATTTCCATCAAGAGGTGCATCAATTTTTCATCAAGATCTTGTAACTAATGTTAAAAAATACAACTTTTGAGTTGAATAATGTATAGTAAATGTTGATAATAACATTTACTAAGATTAATAAATGCTGTAGAATTATTGCTCATTCTTTGTTCATGTTAACAAAATTTCTTGACTAATGTTAACTAATGAAACCTTATTGTAAAGTGTTATATATATATACTGTATATACTATATATACAGGTATATATACTGTATGTATATATATATATGGACGGTCACCGTGATTTTGCCAAGTAAGACATGGTCCTGGATCAACATATTTTGTTGATTCTGAATCAACATTCCTGTCCCAAAATATAGTCCTTACCCAATCCCTACCCCTAAACCTAACCCTACCCATAACTTTTCCCTAAAATCAGAGGGTAATGAAAGGTGAATGACACTGATGTTTAAGTACTTCACCCTGGTTCTAAGCCTAAACTTGACATAAACTGTAAACTTGTTCCTCAAATCTGATTGGTTGATTGGAAAGTTTATCCAGGATCAACAAAGATGTTGATCCAGGAACATGTGGTACTTGGTGAAATCACGTTCACCATATAGGGACATTTGTTTTCCATAAACATCCAATAGTGCTTTTCCAGCTTACCATTAAGTCAGTTTTGTGCTGGAAACACCTTTAAAATACAGCCGCCAAGAAACCTCCTCTGAAAAAGACGAATTGTAGACCTTGAACAATACTTACCCAACAACAGTGTTGATGTAAAACCCCCTTAGCACTTCAGAAATCATTGTGAGTTATGTTTGCCTCAGTTAAACCATTTAGTGTTTTTTCCTCTCTAATGGAAGCTCAGTCATATCTTTCTCCCACCGAGGGTCTCAGCGCACAGCAGACAGCAGTCACAAACTCTCTCCCCCACACGGAGTGATGCCTCATCCTCTTTTGTTTTCTATTTTGTCTTCCATAACTTATCCGCCTCTCTCGCGCTCTCCGCGCCAGCTGGATAAGCCGCAGCACTCTCTGCTTTCTTTTGTCATCCTCTGCCATAAATCAGTTTCTGGAAGCTAAGTTGTGAGCGACTGTGCTTTGTTGATACACAACACTGGCGAACTGAAGCTTTTTAGAGCTAGAATAATGTTTAGACAGACAGTTATTCCTTTATATGCTAAAACAAGACCAAATTACAGCTGCTAGTTTAAACACCAGGGGTTTTGGTTGATTTTCCATCAACAGAGATGGTTTCATTCTCAGAGAACTACTGCAGCAAAATTGCAACAGTTGTTTAACAATACTTTCTCTAAATATGGGTCGCAAATGAATATAATGGCAGCTTATACTCTGAAATGTATCATATAAATATGCAGAAATATTTTTAGAATTTATTTATTTTAATTTCCTAGCATTGCTAAGTCAGCATGGCCACCGAGACAAAATATCAATAAACATTTCTTAATATTATCAATGTTTAAAACAAATTCAAGAATATTTTTGTGTAAACTGATATTCCTGATTCTTTTCAGATATCTTTGACGAACAGATTGCAAAAGTTAATGGTTAACAATACATATTCCATTCATTAAATCAAAGATAAATAATAGGTCTGCTCTGAGAAGAACACACTAAAGTTGCAGCATTATCTGACTCTAGGATAGAAATACTTTATAGAGATCAAAGCAACTTGTACACCACTAAATACGTGAGCCAATTTTGCAAGTCGTCTTAAATTTATATCACAACAAATGATGCATTCATATTTTGGCTTTTATAACAATTGACTTCCTAAAATGCATTTTTGGAGCAAAACACCAACCAGGGTGAATATGAACAAGCATTTTTTTTTTTTTTTTTTTTGCTGTGCGGCAAGAGCATCTTATGGATTTTTGTACGACTACATTTTTCTTACAGCCATCAATATAACCTCATGCAAAGTTCATCATGTTAATTCATGGTAGATGCTCTGCTGTGTGCCGATCTTTCATAGAGTCCCTTTTATAAATTATTCAATATCAATTTATTTTGCATAAGCGCCATAGGATCTGTCTTATTCTGAGCTCTGATATGGACTGCTCTTGTATCCCCTGAAGACTTCATAAAAAGTTCATGTTTTGTATTTCTCTCGCCCTGCAGACTTGCCAAAAAATCTTGGTTTGGTAACTTCATCAACCTAGAGAAAGAAGAACAGATCTTCGTGGTTATTAAGGACAAGCCACTGAGCTCTATAAAAGCCGACATCGTCCACGCCTTTCTCTCGGTGAGAAATCTGTTTCGCATGGCTCCAATCCCGTTTCATTCCAATGTTGTGAACGACAGCTATGAATATTTGAATATATGCTTCTACGTTCTCTCTATCAGATCGAAAGACGCAGCAGTTTTGATAGGCTTGGCCGGAAGCCTGTGTTTTTACGTTTGCAAACACCTTTCTGATTTGTGTTTCATTTCTGTAAAATGCTAGTGTGAGATGTTTCCATCCTTCCCTGTGGCTGCCTCTTTCATTAGAGGTCAATGGAAAATCAACGCAGGGCATGAATCATTAGCATATAGATGTTGTGCCTCGAGAGGTTTGTGGAAAAGGGAAAGGAGTTTAGTGTGTCATTTAGACCGGCAAGTGGTTTAAATGTCTGTTTAAAAACTAGCTTGTCGTGGTTAGTGATGTTTTTCTCACATTCGGCTACACGAAAGTTATAAATAGCCACAAGTTTCCATAGAGGTGCTTCCAAATATGTAAGAGCTAATCGAGCTTTACCTTTCTCCTCCATCAGATACCCAGCCTCAGTCACAGCGTCGTCTCGCAGACGAGTTTTCGGGCCGAGTACAAATCTACAGCCGGTCCCACCGTCTTCCAAAAGCCTGTTAAGTTCCAGGTTGACATCACGTACACCGAGAGCACCGTGACCACCAAGGAGAACGGCATCTATTCAGTCACCTTTACTCTGCTCTCAGGTAAACACAGCAACTGCAATCAACATCACCAATCATCAAGCCCGTAGATCACGGGCGTAGCTTGAAAACGCGAAAATAGCTGTGGGAAAAGGTGAAAAAGGTGAATTATTTGTACCTTTTTTAATCTTATTTGGGATAATCACATTCAATTTGTCAGAATAACCTGCAACAGTATTTTTACAAGGAAAACAATCCCTGGTAGAGCACAGATTGGGTCAATTTGGCAGCATGGTTGGATGATAAAAGCTAAAAAATATATATATCGTAATATTTTTCTGCCTTTTGAGGATCAGTATGCATCTCGATATTTATGTATTTGCTCTGAAATAACTTTTTTATGGTGATTTTTCAGTTATAATAGCCATAATTTTGACTGAAAAGCCTTTGTTGCCAATTAGATTCAAAACGTTTAATGTAAAAAGCTATAAATATATATAATTTGGTAATAATTTGTATTTCTATTCACCAATACATTGTTGCCATACAAGCAGGGACGGACTGGGACTAAAAAACGGCCCTGGACTTTGTCTAGGCCCGGCCCAAGGCAATCGGCGCGCGGAAACTCGACAAAAACAACAATAACGCCTGCCACCAGGCATGTGTCACAAGACTTTAATTGTGGCTGATACTATACCATCCAAATTATAGCTAACAGCATTATACAATCTATTCCATGCTGTCTTAAAATGAATGTATTACTTAATAATCTTAATTAATTTATGCAGTAATTAATCTTAGCTACTGCACAAATAATAATACCACATCTAAATGAAAATACGCTACACCATTACAAATGTAACTTCTGTATTTAAAATCTTCAAAGTTTGTAAGCATTAACTGTAACGTTACCAACATTTTTAAAAGTAAAAGCACAACATATTTCTTACTATTAGCTACATTTTACAGCTAAAATGTTGAAGTTTAGCTGTTTTAACTACTGTAATCATTAAAATGTAGCAAGCTGAATATCACTTCCTAACATCATCCCGTGAGACACGCGCACACTAGCACACACACTAGGGGTGGGAATCTTTGGTCACCTCACGATCCGATCCGATTCTAGGAGTCACGATCCGATTCCAGAACGATTCTTTATCTACCTCCCCCCCCCCCCCCCTTATTAATTCATTAGTTTACATAAGTAATTAAGTACTTTTTAAAAAATAATTCCTAATTTTTTTTTTTTTATTAAAACAGTTGTATGTTAAGAATTTTAAACTAATATAACTAATATAACAAATAATAAAGAGGAGCATAGAAAAATATAACAAACAACAAACAAAAAGTGCTTTCAGTAGCCTATAGATTATCTGAACATTTTCCATTCAAGAACTGTGAGTGATTTTTCTTCTTTACTGTTGTTTTTTACTATGACATCATAGACTGCGGAAGATCTATTAAGCTGCATTCACGCACGCATCTCTTTTGAAATAAAAGAAGTAATGCGGTGTGTCCTGTCCGTTTAATCCCTTAAGACATAACTGGCTGTGTTTACGTTAATTTTGCACAAGTACATTAAACCACTACACGGAGTCGTACAGCCGCATGCGCAAGCAGTCTCACAAATAAAGCGCGCGTCAGCATTTGAAATTGAAAGCAGCCTTCTGTTAGTGAGGTTCATATTTTAAATATATAAGTCCACTGCATTCCAAACCATATAAATGATGACTTCGTAGAGCATTTGTAAGGAAAATACCGACGGGCGAGACAGCACACTTCAATTGTAACATCAAAGAAAGCGCGCGTCTCTCACAGCGTATCCTGTGCAATGAAGCCTGTGAATGTCCTTGTAATTCGCTTCAACCTTTCCGAACTTTATGAAAGATTATTTTACGGAAGGTTCGAGTGGTGTATGTGTGTGAGGAATTGGAAGCAAGCAGAATACGGGTGTTTCTAAAGCAAACTCAACGTCATCGCACATCTGGTTAAAAACTAAGCTCAGAATCGATTCTGGAATTCTCAGAATCGATCCAGAATCGTTGGAGAGAGAATCGCGATGCATCGATGGATCGATTTTTTCTCCCACCCCTAACACACACGCAAGGTCTCTAGCTCGCTCCCTCTCTGTGACTGCGTGTGTGGCGGGTGGTGGGCCGGCCCGCCGGCTGTCCTGGAGTACCGGCCGTTCTGTGATTCTCCAGATCACACAGATGGCCAGTCCGCCCCTGCATACAAGAAGGTTAACTTCTGTTTATTACTCAAACATTTTAATACATGAGAAATGCCACGGGGGAATATTTTTGAGTGATAACAGCCATTAGGTAGGATCATGAAACTACACTGAAAAACATTTGGTGAAGGGATTACTTTGAAAAAAGATTCACTCAGAAATTGCTTGTAAATTTTACAGTCACAAAGAAACGGCAAGTAACATATCAAATTTAATGTGAAATTATGAAGTAGAAAGATGGAAATAGTATTTTCTTGTAAAATGTTTTACAGCGTAGTTGTAAATGACATCGGGGGCTCTATTTTAACGATCTGAAACGCAAGTATCAAGCGCGAAGCGCAAGTAACTTTGTGGGCGGGTCTTGGGCGCTGTTGCTATTTTACCGGCGGGATAAATGACTCTTGCGCCTGGCGCAAGTTTAAAAGGGGTTGGTCTGAAATAGCTTCATTATTCATAGGTGTGGTTTGGGCGTAACGTGAAATAAACCAATCAGAGCGTCATCCAACATAGGCCTACCCTTTAAGAGCAGGTGCGCATGTTGCATGGCGGATTGCTATTATAACGGCGGATTTACCAGGCGCGCGCCAGGAGCGGTTCACAGCCGAGGAGACCGACGTTCTTGTCAGGACCGTAAAAGACAGAGAAGTGACGTTGTATGGATGGGAGAAACCCACCCAAATCAGCGTTGGTTAAACAGGCGTGGGATGAAAAAAACTAAATTTTCTTTACATCTTCATGGACACCACAATGATTTCCCTCATGTGTTAATATTTTTCCTTGTTATAATGTATGATTTGCGGTCATTTGCATAAAACAAACCTAAACCATCTCTATGTAAGGGCCATATATTAGGCTCAGCAAACGTACTTCGTCATATATATATATATATATATATATATATATATATGACAAAATATAATTGAGATAACACATTTATGAGGCCACCCTAGAGTATGTGTGGTTTCAGTTGTTCCTTAATTTTTTTTATAAATTTAGAGTACATTTCAGTAAAAGTAGTTATAGTTCAAGATTTGTTTGTGAAAACGTTTGTATGTAGTGAATGAGACCTATTGTCTTGTGGAAACTTAAAGGTTAGAGATGTATTTTTGTATCACCAGCAAACTCATTGCAAATATATTGTGAATATTTAATGTAAAGCCCATTACTGACAGTGTACACTTAGTCTTGGCTAACTTAGACGAAGCCGTTTTGAGCTTGTCCACTTTCGACCACTTCCAGAGGTAGTAGAAAATGCAATCTGGTCAAAATGCACGACCGGATTGCTTTCATAGTGTAAACGCTCATGTGGTCGAATGTGTTCAAACTGCCACAAAAGACCGTCTTCTCTCCGCCTACTTATCCCAGAAGGGTTTTAAACTTTGTTGGCTGGAGACCCAAGTTTGGTTTGAAGACAAAAAACGTCCCAAGCACAATGTTCTCTCACAATTCCTGATTTCTAACACACACTCACATCGTTCGGCTGGGCTTTCTGCTGTCAGAGCAGAAACGAAAACTGATGCTCTCAGTGTGTTTTTCCATCTTCTCCTTTTGTGTTCCTGTGTAAATAAATGTAAATAGCTTGAGCTTGTTTTGTCCATAAGATTGAAAGATCTAAAAAAAACATACATTTACACTACATAGACGCTTCCCCTCGAATAAATTCGAATAATTCAGTAGAATTAACACTTTCTCTTCTCTTCTATTCTATAAAAAAAAAAAAAAAAAAACTGCACTAAAATTAAACTAAGAGGGGTTATAGCACTTACGTATTGTTGTCCTACTGTTAGTTTAACTGCTTCTATTGTTCTCATTTGTAAGTCGCTTTGGATAAAAGCGTCTGCTAAATGAATAAATGTAAATGTAAATGTAAATGTAAATCAGGACAGAAGTGGTTGAAAGTGGACAAAAGAGACGGATTAAAACACCAGGTGTAAACGGGAATGTGTCTCCCTCGTCGACCAAAACTCATCTTAATACCGGGTGTAAACAGGGCCAATGTGACGGCACCTTTAGAAACATTTCCATTTAATTCTCAGATTGAGCCAAATAGCCTCTTACACACACCAATTATAACATCAGTATATTTCAGAAGTTGCAATAACAACTAAGATAAATAGAACACCTAAAAATACGTTGTAGAAGTATTGGCTAATACATCATTCTCCTTTATTTGCTTCCATTAATATTCATTATGTCTCCACATAACAATAGCAGCTCTTTCTACTGCAGTGTGTGGCCCATGGCGTTGTCCACCTAGCTGAGATAAGAAGGACCGCAAATTACAAGTAGTTTTACAATAAATTCCTGTCAGATTCCTAAAAGGCTTCTAGGGCTCTTGGTCCTAATTAAGATTTTTCTGTCTGTGGATATATTTCTGCTTTTACTATGGTGCAAACATGACTTGAATGAGTAGTCAAATAATCCGTCTTAAGGAAACCCCGCCCTAACTTCCAGTTTCAACAAGAAAATGTCAACAGACCCTTTTCTTTTTACATGTGACCTGTTACACTTTATTGTAGGTCCAAGTCGGCGCTTTAAGCGGGTGGTAGAGACGATCCAGGCGCAATTGTTAAGCACACACGACCAGCCGGGGGTCCAACAGCTGTCTGGTGAGTATAAATCCCCTGTCCCTTCCCCCGCCCCGACCCGAGCCCCATGTTCCCTCTCATATGCCTGTTTATAGCTCTCCTTCATCACGCATGCCCCCGCACCCCTCGACCACAGCACACTGCAGCACAGCATCACAGTATTCTCCACATGATCCCACCCTAAAGCAAACCCCTGCAGACGCTAGAAGAGATGGGGAGTTTTCCAGTTCTTGGTGATTCCCTTCGGCCACACCGATGCTCCCATTTCTCAAGCGGCATTAGCGGTAGCATTCCCTGACAGTTCTCCAAACCTGGGCACCTCAGCTTCATGATTTCTAGCTTTGGGAGACTGTGTCCTTATTGGGTGATAGATTTGGGCTGGTAATATAAAGGTTTCTTGTACAGTTTCAGGTCGGGATAACCCCAAAACGGAAGTCTTGCTTTGTCCCCATCAGTTTGATCAGACAGCTCATGTGCTAAACCAAACAGAACACCAAAGACACATATCTCCCTGATTACAATAAAAATATCAAGTTTTGGGACAATATTTTTCAGTGTATACCTTCTAATACCTCAAACTATTCAGAGTTTCAAGGATGAACAGCTGGTTATGTGGTTCATCAGAGGAGAAAAGAAAAGAAAGCCACTTTTTTCATCCTATTCTTCATTTACCCGGTGCACGTCCTCTCTTTTTGACAGATGATGATATTTGACTGTGTCCCAACCATCTCCCTGATAACAGCTCCACCTACTGGTCTGATAGATGAACAACAACATCTTATAGACAAAACCAGTACATTTAACCCAACTTTTTAGGTTTTATCAAATGCTCACCAACACAGATGTTCAACACAGTATTGGAACAATATTATTTCTGGCAATGGAAAGATATTTAGTTACTGTATATTTAGCAACTTTGATACTTTTCCTGTGATTTGTTCTAAAAGTCAAGTCAGTCAAGTCACCTTTAAGCAGCTTTACAGTGATAAGAGAAAAATAATGCAACAAAGTTTGTTTCTAGAAGAAAATAGAGTCTCAGTCCATCTTCACTGCAAAAAAAATACTTTTCTTACTTAGTATTTTTATCTTGTTTCTAGTCCAAATATCTAAAAATTCTTAAATCAAGATGCATTTACTAGATGAGAAAAATGCCATGAATATTATATCTTGTTTTCTGGGTAAATAAATCAAAATTAAGTGAATTGTTGCTTAAAAAAAGCAAAAATATCTGCCCCCAGAAAACAAGATATAATATCATTGTGTTGGACTAGAAACTAGACAAAAATACTAAATAAGAAAAGCTTTTTCTGCAGTGTAAGTTCAGTGATGGTTCATTTTTGTTGTAAAAAAGTTATTAATTTAGTTCATTTATAGGTTAATTTAGTTCTACACTCAAAGGTGTTCTGTACATGGCTGAAAAGAATGATAAAATAGTTTAATAGTTTAAAATATGTATGTAAATAAAACTTTTATAATAAGTTTCTCACGTTAACCAAGGCTGCATTTATTTGATAAAAAAACATAGGGGGGGGGGAAAACAGTAATATTAGCATTTAAAATAATTGTTTTCTATTTTAATATATTTTTGAAATCTAATTTAATCCTGTGTCGATCCTTCAGACGATGCTGATCTAAAAATGCTAAATATTTAAGCATTTTTTGCTAATGGTATTTTGGACCCCACTGTATATGTACACATATTAGTTATAACTTCTACCTATCATTAAGTAGTATATCATGACAAGAGGGTGAAGTGGTCATCAACCGTGTGTTACTGCCACTTTGGGGATATTTCAGGGAGTGTTGGGCAACAGGAAGACATTTCCAGAGCATCTCAAGAGAGTAGATCCTCCCTTTTTCTCCTCCTGTCGTCCTTCTCTGTTCCCTTTCACTGTCTATCTCTCTTTCTCCTTCCCTTTCACTCAAACATGTCACATTCATTGCTCTTCACGTCTCATTCAGCGCTGTATGACTCACTGTGGTTTGAACGCACTACGGCACTGCACAGATGAATGGCACATACTCACTGCAGTCAGATTGCACGTACCGATCCAAAAATAAATCACTGATTTAATTGTTATTTTGTGGAGGAGGTTGTGGTTTTCTGTGTGTATGAAAATAACTAACCTCCCAATGTTCTTTAGTTTCATAAAACTATTTTTATTCCAAACAAGCATAATCATCCACACAAACTTGTCTAATAACCACCCAACCGAAGTCTCGCCCCTAGTGTGGTCTAGATGAAGACATCAGGCCCCATGCTTGTTAATGGGAAATTGCTCATTTGCTTCACTTGGGCATGATGAAGAGCACACACAGCAAATTTAATGTGCTAATGCGCTGATCTGATTTATAAACCCAAAAAAAAAAAAAAAAAGATTTAGGGAATTTTCAACTTTTTTAAGGCTGCTGTTATTTGCGAAAGTTGTGTTCGGTGTCAACACGCATTTCTCTCTCTCTCACATGTATCCAGAGAACTCTCAGTGCGCTGCACAAACTGGTAAAGTCACTAAGTCAAAGTGTGGTAAGACTCTTATTGTTAAATACACCAAATTGCACCACAATTACAGTGGACAAAAAGAGCATTGAAACACTTAACACTTAAAAATGTGTGAATGTCTGCATTAGCTAACAAATCAATTCAATTTGGCATTTACAACAAAAAAAAAAAGCTTTTTTTTGTGAAAGGACTTGCTTGAAAAGCATGCTTGTGCTATCATTCTTTAAAATATAAGCCACTTGCTTTCATAATGTGTTATCTAATGCAGTGGTTCAACACAATTTCAAATATTTCAAAGAGATATTTCCATTATGCTGTAATTATGACAAAACTGCTCGTTTTCAAACTGTGTAGTGAGTAGGGGGGAGGAAAGAAGTATGATCACAGTTTAAATCTCGATTTCATGTGGGGTTTTTTATTCGAATTTGAATGTAGATTATCAAAACACTTTTGTTAATATATTAATAACAATTTATTCATTTAAATACTTTTAAGTCTTCCTGCAGTTTGCCGAGGCCTCCTGGCTGAGAACCATCGGTTTAATACAATGACATTCAGAGGGTTTAAGTAAGACTTAAAGGGTAGTTCACTCAACAATTAAGATTTTGTCACCAATATATGTTTCCATCCAAAGTTGTGAATTTAACTTATGCACAAAATCATCACTACCTGGGAAATTGGGTTTATTCGGTACATGTTTTTCCATTGTAGTTTTTGTAGGACTTCTTATCGAAAAAAAATGGTTCTCCTCAATTAAGTGCTTTTAATGGTTTTTAATGTGAATTTTTGCGCATCTTGGCGTTTCCATTCAGCATTTTTTATACAAGTTCCCAAAATGCCCATAATATAGCTGGATGGAAACATTTACTACCATCATATCATTTCAAAGCTGCATGACTTTCTTTTTTCTGCAGACATGATGAGTAAATGAGGACAGAACTTTCATGTTTGGGTGAACTATCCCTTAAAGTATCCAAAAGGTTTTTGGGGCCACTGAATTACTTTATTATGCACACTGCATTTGTCCTTATATAAACCTGTTATAATCACAACACTTGTAATCACGCATGTCATGTATTACATCCAATTTAAAGTGCACTCAGCCCCATAAATACCCTTTCACATGTAACATTGAATCAGTAAGTGCAGCACAGTTTTATTTTGTTTTCTTTAAGTTTTGTGTGCACTAAAACACAGTGTGTGTGGCTTACAAACCTGGTCTTAGTTTCTTGGCTACGTGCGCCAAACAGACGAGGCTATACATATGTACACCAGAGGCTCTGATGATGTTCAAATGAACCCTACACCAATGACGGTGTGCCAGTTTGTGTAATAGGGTTGCATGTGTAGTCATGAGTTTGGAAGAATCTGAAGTCAAGTACACTAAAGGGGGTTTTCTCATGCAGTCAGAGATTGCTGAAGGCTAGTCTGAGCCTCAGATGGACCAGACCGGCTGGTGCATATTACACACAAATGCCAAGAACTTTTGAAAATTGCCGTTTCCAGTCGCCAGAATCGCCAGAATTAATGAATCAGGATGCGCAGGTTTTTAGTAGCCTCTCGAGAAACAAAAAGTTGACACAAAGTCTGCTAGAATAAGTGAAAGAACTAGATACTGTATTTGCCAAAGTTTGTGAGGTTTTTGTAATTTATTCTTTGTTGCTAATTAATTATTAGCTTGTTTAAATAATTGCTCAGCAGTCTCTGTATTGACATACGGAACATGTTTTTAGACATTGTAGTCTTTCTATCCATCAAAAAAGATTTTTCATTAACATAATTACAGAATATACAGCGTTGCTTCATGATGATATCTTGTTGTATATTCCGCCTGTGGAATATGGTGTATAATTGAACCGGACAGATGACACTTCACAGGCTTATGTGACTGAGAAGTGAGCAGAATAAAGATGAAAGGGTACGCTCTACCCATGTGTGGGTTTCCTGACTGATCTATGTGTCATTCTTTCTGCAGTGACAGATGTACAGATGACACATCGCTTCACTCATTACTTTAGAGCCTTTTCTAATTATCTAGCCTCTCTCATGTTGGCTATATAAAGCCTGTGTGCCCATGTGCTTCACCCCTACCAGGAAATCCAGCTAAAACCATCTTTAAAGTCAACATGGAATTGAACCCAACCCTATTTACTGTCTTAACACATGTTCCTGGTCTTATTGCAGATGATTTTCAGTGCACATTACTGCAAAGAAAAAACAAACGTTGATCTTTTGGAAAAGTGAAATACCTTGCTTAAAGGAATAGTTCACTTAAAAATGAAAATTATGTCATCATTTACTCACCCTCAAGTTGTTTCAAACCTGTATGAATTTAGTTCTTCTGCTGAACACAAAAGAATATATTTTGGAGAATGTCGGTAACCAGACACTTGAAGGACCCCATTGACTTCCATAGTATTTGTTTCCCTATTATGGAAGTCAATGGGGTCCATCAACTGTCGTGTTACCAACATTCTCCAAAATATCTTCTTTTGTGTTCAGCAGAAGAACTAAATTCATACAGGTTTGAAACAACTTGAGGGTGAGTAAATGATGACAGAATTTTCATTTTTAAGTGAACTATCCCTTTAAGCAACTTGCCTTTTAAACTGCCTTCACCTAGGCCAAAAATAGTGTTAGCCAAAGCAGTTTATCTGTGTTAGGTACAGTTGTCTCACCAATAGTTAATGAGTAATTTAATTGCAGTTAATATTAAAGTATAGGGTACTTCAATAATAGCAAATTACAGCATATATGAAAAATGTATATTACCATAAAGATGCTCTTGGGATGAACTTGACCTTCAGCCTCCACCTCAAGGTGAAAAGGGCTCCTCAAAAGTAATCTTCAATCAACTGCAACTGGACTCCTTCCCAAACCTCATCAAGTAAATCCCTGTTAAGGAAAATTTGCTGATTTTATGCTTGAATATTCTGTATGACTTGGAACTATGTCGTGGCAGAGGTAAAATGGGTTGCAAATGCTGATTCACGTTGACTTTAAGGTGGTAGTTCTGTTTGTGAACACAGTAGCTTGTCTCTAACTGGTCCAAGCTGATGTAGATGGTTGACCAGCTGTTGGGGACCTGGCTGATGTGTTACACCATCTTGGTCAAGGACGTTACTGGAAAAAGCAGGTCATACCAGCTTAAGGTGGTGAAGTAAGATGGTTCATTTGGTTGACCAGCCAGTGGGAACCTAGTTGAATTTGGCCTAGAAATTCACGTTATGCATGTTTTTGGTGGTCAAGGCGATTTATCTCGTCCAAGATGGTCTATTAGCTCAGCTAGGTTCCCACCATCTGATAGTCCAGCTTATCAACCATCTAAACTTCAACTAGTTATGTTGCTGTTGCTCAACTTGTAGACTATAAAGCTAACAAGCCCATGGTCATTGGTTCCATTTCCAGGGAACACAGATACTGATAAAATATTGTAACTTGAATGTACTAACCAGCTAGGTACAACCTTAAGCTGGTTTTAACTGGTTTAACCAGAGAATCCTAATTTCTTGTAGAGAATTTGATAAGTTAGTGTGACCCTCAAAGCTTCTCCAAGTCGTAGTCTTCTTCCCTATCCTATCTCTTTTCCCCTTTCTGTCCATTTCTCCTTGTGCGAACCCATTGTTCATTTCTTTGTTCTCTCTTTTTTCCTTTTCTTCCTATCTGTGTACCTAGGCAGCCCATTGAGTAACTTCTTTGACGTAATTAAACAACTTTTTTCAGACGAGAAGAATGGCCAGGTGCCTCTTCCACCTGGCTCGCCCAACAGACACCCATCTAACGCCCGTCGCCACGACCCTCAGCCTAGTGACTCTAAATGCCCAGCGGGCAATCCCAGGGACAATGCCAAGCTGGTGGCATCCTTTGGGATACAGGAGCAGCCCTAACACTTTACCAATCAAGCTTTTTCAAACTTACCTACATAAAAGCACTAAAATATGTCTTAGACGTGATGGGATTTATATTTGGACAAACTTTTGTAAGATGGAATGATTGTTTAAAAACAAGTTATGACACAAATCCAGACACATTTCCTCTGTCACCGTCTTTGCCATGTCAGTTTGCCAGCCCCTTCCCGAACCCCTGTTGTTTCTACCCCAGATGTTTTCATGTCTTTACGTCTGCCTTCCCGTTTTCCTCACCTTTGTGACGGCTTGTTTTTGCTGCTAGGAATTATCCAGAAAACTTATTAAAACGCTGCCCCACTTCCCTGCACATCCTGTGACGGACATTTATTGACAGACGGCACTTTTCATGACGAACAAGCAGGTTACCAAGGAGATGGACACTTCATCCTTCGTCACACTCTTCCCTCCCCACTCTCCGGTCTCTCCACGCTTGACAAGGACTAAAATACAAATACACACACCGCTTGCCCTACCATCATCTCAGCATCCTAACCTGTTAAAATGGTCGACCAGCTGGTGGGAATTGGCTGCTCCAACAGACTCTGTTCCAAAACTTAGTGAGCTGCCTCTAAGATACTGTACCCAGACATCCCACCTGTCCCGGAAGGTCCGGGAGTCGATTGATAGTGAGTCCCCGATGGATGCAATATTATATACAATATCCCGGAAGTCGATCAAGCGAGAGAGAAAGCCTGTTTCCATATGGGTATTAGATGCATTTTCGGTGGACCAATCACAAGTGGTCAGCCAAGACGCATTACCGAAACACCTGGGATTATCCAACCCGTCTCACGGCAATTCGTACGAGTTTTACGAGGTGGCTAATTCGTACGAATTCAAACAAATGACCTACCCCTGACCCCGACCCGCCCCTAAACCTACCCATCACTGGGGTTTTGACAAATCGTACGAATTAGCCACCTTTAACTCACTCGTACAAATTCGTACGAATTGGTCGTGAGATAGCGTTGGATTATCCCACGTTTCAAATGCGTTTTCTGTGACCACTTTGTGATTTTGTGGACACCCTCTGCTCCTTTTTCGTCACACTCAACTACATCACTTTCACTTTTGGTGCATGGATAATGAACAAACCCGTGTTAAGCAGCTTATGTGAATGAATATAATAGTATAATATGATATTTTTTTTATATATATTATGGTGGGTGTTGCACCATCTCCCGGAAATGAGTTTTTGCAGGGTGGGATGTCTGGATACCTCACTTTGATCACATTATAATGCAGTCCCTTACTGCAATGCAATAAACTTTTTGCAAAAAAATCATTCAACATGGCAGGTTAAGCACTTTAATCAGTCTAATTAAAATAAGGACTATCTTACCCAATATTTGTTTATGTATTTTTATGCACATTAGAGAATGGTGCTGATAGCATGTAGCAACATGCTAATGTCAAACTGTTGAAATCAATTGAGCTGTGCTGTTGTGAGCTTAGCAACATGGCAACTCTACTGAAGTCAGTTCGCAAGCCAGTTCAGTTCAAAGTCTCCAGTGCACATGGTGTGATGAGTGCTGTTTGTATATCACACAGAGTTCACTTATGAGGTTACGATTCAGGAAACCATCAAAAGCCTGGTGCACACACTTTTTTGGCCATGATTTTGCCATCTAGGACAAATTTTCAGGAGTTATAAAAGAGTTATTTCATCATAAAAATTTGGAAAACCATCAGAAAAGAGTCATGTGTGTATCTTGCTTTAGAAGGCAGTAGGCAGCAAGGCAGCTCGCTAGGTTTGGAACAAAACCACACTCAATACTAGACATGAACACACATTCACACAGGATGTTTGCACTCAGATTCATAAGAAAAAAACTAAACTCATCGAGAAGGAAAAGATGACTTTGAGAGCTTGTCCTGGGGATGTGGATTTTTTTTCAAATTGTATCGTTTCAATTTGTGATCTTTTATTTATTTATGACTTTATGTTTGAAGAACATCACTTGATCTTAAACCATTGCTGCAAAAGGACTGAAACATGGTTTAAGTGAGTTTGGGACTCGGGATGGGGTGGGGGGATAGTACTGAATGAATTTATCCTAATGAATGAATCTCTGTTGTACAGATTGAACATTATTATGTACAAATAAAATGTCTAGATGTGACACTAGCTTTAGTTCTGTTGTAGATTCAGATTTGAAATCTTGTGTTGCTAGTCTTTATTTAATTATTATTTAACCCTTGTACTTCTGTATTTATTACCTGATGGAACAATTTGTTTCATTTAATCGATTTGGTTAGACACTGAAATACAGTGTTTAATTATTTTATTTTTTTCTCTTTTTTTTCTGATAATGTCTCATGTTCGCTACCAGCAGATACTAAAAAAAATGTTGAATACATTGTGAATATTTTTGTATTTTTTTCTTCTGTTTATCTCTGTCCTTATTTATTATCATCCAGTTATATATATATATACATGAGAACTTGAATGTTATTTATTTATTTATGACAATAATGTGTTTGTTTGTATCAGGGCAACACAATTTTGTTTGTTTAAAGAAACTTTCTAATGTCTTGATTTGTAAAAGTACCGTGGACTTTACGAATCTTTCTTTCCTAGCTTCAAAAGAGAACAAAATATTATGTAAAAACAAACAAACCACAAAAAAGCTAATTTAACAATAATTTAAGAATGTAGTTTAGCCTCTATGGGGAGGAAATGACCTTCTCGATATCAATGTCAGCTTCATATCATTGTGTGTGTACAATGGATGACAAAAAAAAGCTGTTCTTGGATCAGTTCTACTGTAAATATGATGTTGTGGCCTACGGGAAAGTCGAAGGCCGTTCCTGCTCTTTGCTTTTGACTTGTATTGCTGTGTGCATGCACGCATTTTCTTTGCATGGCTTTAACGTAACTATTCTCAAAAATCGCACTATTTTCTCAGATCTGCAATCTTTTAATGGGAAAAAAAATAACAACACCTGCCATCACCTTTAACCTCTGTTAGTCTCTCTGCGATTTTTTTGTTTTCTTTCTGTTTTCCTGTCATGTTTTCTACTATACGCTGTAAGCGAGCGACACAACACAGCTTTTGCTCGCTGGCAGTGTCTATGTGGTATCTGTTTATAAAATGCTTCCTTTTGTCTGTATGTACCTCGACCAGGAAAGATTTGGATGTTCACGGCCCCCTTTTTACAGACAGCTGGTTTAAATGAAACAAAAATAAAGCAATACCTGTTGTGAACTTTCCTATTTTATACAGTTATGAAGCAAAACTTTAATGACAAAATAAAATAAAATTGTCCATGCAGAGCAGGAACATGCGTTTAAAGTTGTAAAAAATCCCCTTGTATCATAACTGTGAGCAATTTCAGAGAGAAAAATGAAACAATAAACTGATTCACTTAATAGGATGATACTAGCGAGTGTTCATGATTGTATGTTACTGAGTGGGCGAGGGTTTATCAGTTAAACAATGATCAAAGACAAGTCATATATGCCCACGACTGCATGATATAGGCTAGGCCTATCCAAAATTACTGTGAATACATTCACAGTTGCTGAAATTAACTTTTATGATTCAAGGAACTGATTTATTTTCTGATTGAAGTTTAACATGTTAGATATTATTTTCTATATTTATTTCTATAAAATATCTTTTTATTTTGTTAAAACGTTTTATTGTGATACAAATGTTCAGTCTGTCATTATAGTTATACGTTTAATAACATTGAAATTACATTAATACTGGTTTGCTTTGTTTACTTTTATACAACAACTAGTCCTCAACTTTGATTGGCCGAGTGCGTGCGTCCCACGAGCGCTGATAGCAGCACTGGGACTTTTTCACCGTTTGTATCACTCCGCTGTTAGCGTGTTCCAGTTAAGACAGATTCGACGTTGTGTGACATGCAGTGAAAGGTATCTTTTCTATGTTAATCAGAGTTTTTGTCCTAACCAGCCGCGACGGCGACATTAAATTTATTTAATTTTAGATATCGTTTTGTATCACTTTAATAGCCATAACGTAGGCTACGTGACCATGGTTAATTTACCTCAGATGTAAACAAACAGATGTAGCTAGTTCCATGACAATGACTTTATCGGACACTGTATTTTTAATAACGTTAAAATTGTGAGGATTTTTAGTGACTCTTTGTGCAGGTTACATTGTTATGCCTGTAAATTGCTAAGTAGGCTAACTGTCTTTTATGTGAATTACAAGTCACTGAATCATTTAGGCCTAGTGAACCCGTATGTTCTAAACAAGCACTGATTCATTCATTCAGGAAGCAAACACGCGACAGTTTGTCACGTTTGACGTCTTTTGGAACAGATGTAAAGTTACTCAATATTAACTTGTTGTTTATTGAACTGAGAGAGCAATATCTCACAACTGTGAATACTAGCACCTTGTGTTGCTGCCTTCACGTGCTATCGGAAATTCCCTACTTCCCACTTCTTAAAGTACCCCTGTAGTCAATAATTGTATCCCTTAAAACTCATCTTTGATCACCAAAAGGATATTTTAAAATGTTTTTTTCCCCTTGAAAAAAAAGATCATGCCTCAAAGGTGCACTGTGTATTTTTTAGAGGCATCTAGTGGTGAGGTTGAGAATTGCAACCAACATAAGGTATGGTGGCCGACAGGAAAATATGTCGTTGTCTGAGATAGCAGAGAGTAGCCAGTTAAAGCTACTATATGTTTTCGCTGCCAGAAACAACAACAAAGACGAAGCTTGGTGACGCTATGAAGGAGAGTGGAACTACTGTATGGGAGATGTCGTTTTCACCATTCAGAAATGTATAGAATTCACGAATCATATAAATTATATATCAGCTAGTAAATTCGTTTTTGTATTACCTGTACGTTTGATCACACTGTTATGTCATCGTAATGAATTAGCAGCCCGGGACGTGAAATGTAATGCTATATTAGCCTGTTACTAATGTGACTATTTGTCGAATGATTGGGTGGGTTAATGCTGCGTAGTTTAAAGGGTTAGTTCGCCCATTTAACCCTCTGGGGTTCTTCGGGTCAAAAATGACCCGAAGCGTTTAAATAAAAAAATGTTAAAAATCGTAGCTTCATCGGAATGGTCCAAAACTTGGTGACTTTTTTGGTACTTGGTATATGAACACCCAAAAAAAAATTGGGGACAGGATTTGAAAAGTCTAAGTGGTCGTAAAAAAAATAGTCACACTCAGGACCTTCGGGTCAAAAATGACCCCCATAGGAAATGAATGGGAAATTGGCAAAAATATGAAAATACAGAGTTTTTTGTGCATACAATCTACAAAACAGACAGGATGCAGAAAAAAAGCACACAACAGTGAAGGGGTGAATCTCTTAAAACAATTGGTGACAAAATGCTTTCCATTTGTTCTCTTTATAATGCAATGTTCAGGTTTGAATGTATTATAAAGTTAAACTGCCACTTCAAATTACCATTTAAACCAACCCCAAAAATTTTTTTTTTTAAATTAAAAAAAAAATGACAAAAATAGTCTTTGAGAATCTGTTATTATATATTCAAATCAACAACCTGAAAAAAAATAAACAATATGTGAAAAAATCACTAGAGTGTTTCTACAGAGAGCTGTAAATCCACTAGTGGTAAAAATGTGCTATTGCGTGCTAAAAATGCTCAGTGTGTCCACCAGATGGCTCCGATCTCATTTCAAAAATTGATTTCATGAGGCCTAGACTTGACTCTAAAATGAAATACAGCTTTAATAAAAAAAAAATTATTATTATATATATATATAAATTTTCTATTATATTCAATGGGAAAAAATGGGTCTTAATTATTGCATAAATATTAATTATAAATCATAAAATTATCTCAAAACACCAAAAAAAGAAAAGAAAAAATATTATTGAACAAAAATATATTTCATTG